AAGTTGGTGAAGAGAAGTGAGCTAAAACAAAGAAGACAATGTATCCACGCTGAACCCGCACAGCGCGCTTGTTTGTCTCGAGTTCAGTCGTTGTACAAAGCGCTCCAAGAACTTTTTGACCCTGGCTTGCAATGCCTTGCAGCAATGCGTTCGGGTTCTTTTTTTTATTATTTTTTTGTGTGTGTTTGACAGTTTAGCTTGTAAGTACCTTGTTTGCCGGCCTGGCAAGCACGTGCCGCTGGACTGTTTTTTGTCGTATGCTTGACAGTTCTATTTTGCATACAGTTTTGGTTTTGATTAACAGCCGTTGTCTCCGACTCTCCACTCACGCAACGAAGCATGCGCAACTGCAAGCCTGCCGAAGTTGCCCTCACGTTCATGCGAACATGATAGCACGATAGAGGCACCAGCCTGGGCGCTTGAAATCCATTGTTTCATGTTTGCTTACTTTTGGCGAAAATCTGGCACGTCGGGAACCAGTGAAACGGCGGCAAGCTGTTTTTCGAAATTGCTCGGCAATGCCTAGAGCACTGTATACTTGTAGGATGTCTCAGTAGTAAAACCAGAAGCAGTGAGTTCCTTCACAACATGTCACATCAGAGCACAAGTATGTGCTCTGCCCTTCGTTTGTTCAGTGCCCTTCGTTTGTTCAGCACTTAAAACAAATATTTTTATTTTCCTAAGAATATCTGCTCCAAAATCCACTTTTGCTGCTCCACAACCTTGTTTTTTGTTTTTTTTTGTTGTTGCTCCAAAGGCCACATTTGCTGCTCCAAAACACTGTTTTGGCTGCTCTGAAAGGTGTTCCGAAAAGGCTTAGGCCAGTCACATCACTGTATTTAAAAGCCTCCATCTTTTATTTATTTGTAACTCCTTAATCATCTGCAGTGCCTTAAACGAACTCGTGATGGCAAAACCTGGTGTAACATATGTTCTCCAAAATAGAAAAACAGCAACAAACCTTCACTCAAATTGAGCTAGCTTGTCTTCGTTATAGGGGCTTTGCCGCACGACGTCAGCTCCAAAAAGACATTTTTTTTAGAACCGACAAAGGCTGTGAAGCGATGCTGGTCTGTCGTAGGGGTAGAAAGTCGTGCTGTCCTTACCTTAGCTTCATATTTGTGTTTCTTTGTGTTGCCGCCTAAACCCTTCCCCCTCCCTCCCTCCCCATCCATTCTCATCCCTGGGCCTTTTGCTTACTAGGGACTGTCCGCGGACGGTCGGTGAAACGCAAAGCTCGCACACAAGGAAGGTCTGTCACCTCAGAAACAAGGCTAGGGAAGGAGTATCTGGAAAGTATATCTTGGTGTTCAGCATAGTGCGACGGCAAACAAACCAGCTTACCATTTCTAAGTATCGATGCATACCATACAATGGAATGCAGGTGGAAGTTGATAACTGCAAGGGTTTTGTTGTTGAGTGTTTCCATGTCAGTTCATACAGTGATAGTTAGGGTCATATTTTTGTTATATTTCTGTAAAATTTTTATTATATGAAAGGCATGTCTTAGGGAGAAGCACTCAACTATATACCTACTATATGTATACAGAGTGTTTCGTGAAACACGGGCCAAATCGTTCCTGTGAGAAGTATGCATCGTACATAGAAAAGGTTGATGTATTGATTCCCGCAAAGGGAAAAATTTAGAAAAGAGGATAGTGTTTGATATAATTAGGTTGATAATTACTTTAAGTAATTAATGTTCTTATTAATAAAATTTAAGGTATCATTTCATATACATGTTTGCAAGTAAGCGCACCCCCAAGCGAGCAAGATGGTGGCGCCCTTAGGCCATACTTGCAAATCTGTATAGAAATATGGTGGGCATCATCGAAAACCCACGAGTCCATTTACATTATAAAGATATAAGGCATGCGCAGCATTTTAATGCACACCGAAAAACCACTCTTATGGACAGATTTTGAAAGGGCGGGGGTGGGGGGGGGTGGAATTCTTAGGAGGCCATGCATGGAGAAAAAAAAAATAAAAGCTGAGCTAGGGACAGCATGGCTTTGTACACCCTACGACAGAGCAGCACCGCTGTACAGCCTTTGTTGGTTCTAGAAAATGTCTTTGGAGCCAATGTCGTGCGGCAAAGCACTTATAACGAAGACAAGCTAGCTCAATTTGGTTGAAGGTTTGGTGTTGTTTTTCTCTTCTGGAGGTCATATGTTACTCAATGTTTTGCCATTACAAGTGAGCTCAAGACTGTGCAGATGATTAAGGGGGTCTAAGAAAAATAAAAGTCAAGAGTCTCTTTAAATATTCTTGTGCAATTTCGCCATATTTAGAAAAATCTGCTGTTTCTGCATTATTACATAACTACAATAATGGCCAACTCTTTTTTTTATATCTTTTTAAAATGCATTTAAAGATATTGATATATTTTGTGTCATTTTATGTAAAGTAGTTCGTTGGTAAATGATTTGTGAATGTGTCTCTAAAACATGTTTACTTGACGTTTTTCATAACTTTTCTTGCATATAAATTTTGTATTGTTATTTTTAATATTCTGCATACACCGTAAAATACTGGGCAAGTGTCCACTCAAAATTTAAAGATACTCTCGAAAAAATGGGAGATGGGCGCTTGTCCGGTCATGAATTTTACATATCAATGTTCTGTGAATATTTTGTGGATATTGTGGAATGTGGAATGGGCGGATGCGCGGTATTCTACGGTATATTGTAAACCTTCCATAAAATTAGTAGGAAAAATTATTAATATGTGCATGCTTACCGTAAAATACCAGGCAAACGCCCACTCAAAATTTAGAGATAATTGCGAAAAAATGGGGGATGGGCACTTGTCCGGTCATCAGTTTTACATATCAATGTACTGTACATATTTTGTGGATATTGTGGAATGTGGAATGGGCGGATTCCCGGTATTCTACGGTATATTGTAAACCTTCCATAAAATTAGTAGGAAAAATGATTAATATGTGCATGCTTACCGTAAAATACCAGGCAAACGCCCACTCAAAATTTAGATATAATTGCGAAAAAAAGGGGGATGGGCGCTTGTCCAGTCATCAGTTTTACATATCAATGTTCTGTACATATTTTCTCGGATCTTACATAATTGGGAATAGGCGCTTAGTGTGGAGTGGGCAGATGCGCGGTATTCCACAATAGGTGTGAAATTGACGGCTGTGCAAAGTACCATAGTGAAACTTCGGTGACCTAAATGCCTCGAGCTTCAAAATCCAATATCCCTAGAAGAAGATTAGCTACAAGATTCAAATGTAGCTGAATACTTTTCCCAATAATGTGGCTTTCGAATGTATTGTTTACGTAAATATCAAAATATGACCCGTGCCATCATTATGCGATTTGACGTGGAAACACCCTTCTGCAAATGACAACTTAAACATGCACACGTTTCACGGAAGTGTTTGGAGCTTATTCTAAGAGTGAATAATGATGTCACATTGTTAACAGGCTGTTTCTTGTGAGCAGCAGCTGTTCGGGCTTTTTGGGCACAGCTTGCCAAGTACCTGCATGGTGCATGTTTTAGTAGCAAAGGTTGCACCACGTTTTAGTTGCAAAGGCTGAAGGATGCATTGTGCAAAGGTTGCACCATGTTTAAAACCATTCACATTTTCGGGAAGTGTGGCAAATAGAATTATGTCAACGTATCTAGTGAGGTAGATTGTTGGTGCATTACAGCTTTCTTTGCTTCCATGTACAAATATTTAACTGTATTGTTAATGAGTATCTTTAACATGGAGCTTTGCTTGGATAAGGAATTTGCATGTCTCATAGAAGTGTGTTGCTTCTCACTACAAATATATATCGTTAAACTTTAGATACCCCACTTGTTTTTTTTTTTTTTTGTTTTTTTTTTTTTAGGGGGGAGTACTTTGCATTTTATTTAGTTAATTAAAATGCTGTAACTTTCATGGTCATTGCTGAGCAGTCAACACATATTGGGGTTTGGAAGTTGTTGAAATGCTTGATTCTTAGCTGCCACAAACAAGCTTGTTGTGTTAATAGAGGTATAAGATAATTTACTATTCATGTGCCATTGTATTATCAGACCATTTTCAAAATATTTTACATGGTTTTGATAGCTGTTCAAGCTTTTTTTGGTGTAGTGGTCCTTTTTTTATTTTTATTAAAACATAAGTTATTTCATGTATCTTGTTGTACTGGAAAGTCCCATTTAAGAAAGTGAATTTTCTGTTTTCAACTCCCTTGAACATTTAAGTTTTGATACCAAGAAATGATTAATTACAAACAGTTTCCTGTAGTAGTACTACTATGAAAAGGACATATGTTTGTGTACAATGCTGGTAGGTGGTGAAATTTTGCTAACAGTCGTACGTAAATGTTTCAAATCCTACACATTTGTCCGCTGCTGTTGCTGCAGTGCCACAGATTTTTCTGTGGTACGGTTCTCGCTTTGATAAAGTGAGTCATGCAAATGTGCACTTGATTCACATCTTTCTCAGCAGTCATATAACTTTGGTCCTGCCGTATCACCATACTTTTCCGCACGGTATTTCAAGCGGCAACCCACCTCTTGTTGGGTCGCTGGTTGTCATAATAGCATAATAGCTTTATGTCCTTTCAATTCATTAATGCTTAATGCTTGGGACAGGTAATAGTCCTTTATCCTATACTCATTTTCACCTAAAAACCGAAATAAGGAACGTTTTCTGTAGGGCGTTACTAATTTTCCCCTTTGCATGGCGACACAAGACACTTGTGTATCCATTTTAGATTGGTCATTTATTATTGCCTCGAAATGTGGATGTTTCGATCGCAAAAGGTATAGCTTTTTCTCTGTCAACTAATTCAGTGGAAACTACTTTGCTCAGCCTATGAATTACCTGTAAAACTATCTTTTTTTCTTGAGGTAATGATGAGTATATTGATTTTAATCGTAGTTGTTGTGTTCGGGGGAAAATTCAGCAGTTGCTTGGCCGTGTCGAATCTCGGGGGGGTTCTTTGACGAGGGTCGTGAAAGACACGCTTCCTGCGACGCCGTTGCAGGGGTCGAGCGACAGCGGCAAAGGGGGCAGCGACATCCACGGGGGCTTTGGGGGCCTGGCCCCGGAAGACCTCCCGGCAGTGTACGAGTTCGAGCTTCCCCGGGAGCTGTGTGGGCGCTTCATCGGCCAGGGGGGCCGCAACGTGGCCGCCATCAAGGCGCGCTCCAACGCCAGCATCTATGTGCACCAGCACCCCCTCAGTTCCAAGTTGAAGCTCTGCACCATCGAAGGTGGGTCTAAATGCGATGGGAGCCTGTGGTAAGAGAGAGGCATTTGGATTCCAGTAACGCTGCGACAAAAGTTGTCGGTTAGTTGCCTGTCGTAGACAGTTGAATTCGAAAATTGTGTGAATCGGTTTTAAATCTGATAGAAGACCTTGCGGACATCGACGAACAATATTCCCAAAATTTCCATCGCAGTCCCTGAACTTCTGAAAGGCCGACGAGCGGCCAAAAAGGAGAAAACTCTCCTCAGATACTCCTTTCCACTCGAGAAAGTGGGAGGCCCTCTTTTCCGAGGGAAGTAGCTCATAGCATCTTTGAACAACTCGCACCGGAATTGCCTTGAAACCAAAACGGTTCACCGTGCTCTTGATGGTGCAGCGAGCGCCACCATGTGTCACCTCGCATTTTGTTCAAATTTTGCTTCAGTTTGTTTGGATTTTTACTCGTAGAAAGGCATATTTTGCCCATCATTGTTGGTTCACGGTGATGGGCAATGGCCGGTGATTGCTACGGTGGCAAGGAGCGCCTGAAAGTTCACGACTTATGGGCAGTCCTTGCCACCATAGCAATCACCGGTAATCTTGACAATGGTAAAAAGCTCATCGCCTTGCTGTCGGAAGAGCTGAGGAGTTCATCGAGTGCCGCTGCGAGGTGCGTTCAATTTCGCAAGGTCACCTCCTTGATAGACTGCGTGTCTGCTATTCCCGCCATCTCCTCGATTCTCGCTCCTGGCCGCAATGCCTGGTGGGCCTGCACCCCGGTGCATTTTCGATTTTCTGGGTGCGCGTTGGGGCAACGAAAAGCCGCATCGGGAGGGTGCGCTCCGTGCATCGAGGGTGTCCGGAGCGCGCCGATGCAGATGATCGAGAATGCTATTAGAGACCCGCTCCTGTGGGGAGGGGAGTAGAAGAGAGTGTGAGAGGGAATGGAAGGAAGGAAACTGGGAACAGATTTTCTTCCCGGTCAAGGAAGATTCTGTAGGTCGGCCTTTAATATATAGATGTCTGTGCAGAACAAAATGCTATCACATTTCAATCCGTACGGCGGTTTCGGCAACACGATTTTCCCCATGGGCCCACATAAATTTGTTTCTGAAAGGTGCAGAGCGTTAGGATGCTCGCTAATTGAATGATGGCTTACTCTGGCCTCGCGGGGGTAGAAGTGGCAGTCCACATCCGAGCAGATTTGACTGCCACTTCCCAGTCAGCAACGATCGCTTATCCCCCGCTGTGACTAAGTAACGCCATTTCTGCGAAGGTCACCATTGGCGAGGGCCGTGCAATTACTAGAAATAAACCATCTTTTCATGTTTTTTTAAAAAAAATTAGTGGGTTATTTTTTGGGAGTGGGGATGTTACGATACTTTGACATCTGAGCTACCTTGTGGAGAGAAGCCTGCTTCTCTGTGTGGCACCTGTCTAAAGGCGCTCTCCGGGACTCCTGGTGCATGTTGTGGCTGCAGGTACCCAGGAGGAGATCAGGATAGCACTCGACATGATCCGGAAGAAGTTCCCTCTCAGCGCCTACCCGAGCATGACACTGGTGCAAGTGAATGCGGTGCCTCTGCACGGAGTGGCACTGCCAGACACGTTGCAGGTGAGGACACAGAACTGTGCACGGTTGCAAGTGGCAATGTGTTCGTCCTTCAGCCTCCTTCCGCTGACATTGCTTTGGGTTGTTAGCCTTCCCTTATTTATGCTTATATTTTATCCTAAGTTGGTGCCTCGTCTAAGAAAGTGAATGTGTCGTGCATGTTCATTTTCTTAGACCTTGTTCTGGAATGCTCTGGAATTTGCGTAATGTTTATTTCATAAACTTGGTTTTATTTTTCCTTTGGAATTTGATCTAGAATAAAAGTAGCAATCATTGCCTTTGTCGAATTTATTCTTATCAAAAGTGCTATTATTATTTTCACCAACTCCTGATGGGTCCTAAGAATTATCTTAGGGTCCATCAATGTCAACTGCAATGAAGTTGAAGGGCCCGCGCATTTGTTCTTTACTATTCCATGTGACAGAGAGCTTAAAAACTCATCTGTCAAACCCAGGATCATTATATATATGTCTGATTCCTTATTCGTTCAAATAACCAATTACTCAATCACACCTTAAAGTTTACATTTATAAATACTTCATTCCCACCATATATTTTTTTTTAACATTTATTATGAGTTTTTAGAAATCTGTAGTCATTCTAGCAGTGCTGTGCATTGCTGCATCATGAACTGTGCTTGCATCATTATTTCGGTCATGTCCATAAACCATTTCAATTACTGCTTTCTGCGCAGTGGCGTAGCCAGGAATATTTTTCAGGGGGGGCTGAGGTGGCTGGGGTGCCCATGACTTGGGGCGGGCGGGGAAAGAGGGAGGGAGGAGAGGGGGGGGGGGGGAAAGGATTGTCAAAATGCATGTGTTTATTATAGAGTTGGCTGGATTGGGGGGGGGGGGGGGGGGTTTACCCATAAGCTTTCCCCTTGGCTATGCCATTGCTTCTGTGCACTGTCACCTTTGTCTGGTGGGCCATGGGCCGCGGGGGCGCATTCTGGGCTTGTGTAGTCGCGTGTAATTAATACGGACACCTCCTTTTTCTCCAGCAATCACCAGTAATAAAGGGAGAAAAATGCTCCCAGTTAGTCCCCAAAAAATTGTGTTGATATAGTGAGGTGCTCACATTAAGTGGTCCGTGTTGAGGAGACACAAATGTAGCTCTCTTCTGCGGAATATCGATGCTGTGCACGTAGCCCAGTAGCTTCATTTTTTGTCAGAGTGATAAGCACTGGAAATGTGTATAATGGCATAGGTTGGGCGTCAATTTGCTCGAGAAGTGGTTTGCTCACCCCGTCTCTCTCCCATGTGAACAGCTGCGCCTTCCCGACGGCGTGACATGCGACGTGGTGCTGACGAGCCTGGTGACGGCGGGCCACTTCTTCCTGCAGCAGCCCACCCACCCAACTTACCCGTCCCTGGCCAGGCTGGACCAGTGCATGCTGGCCTGCTACGCACAGGGGCTGGACACCCCGCCTCTGCCACGTCCCGCCGAGGGTGAGCGGGGGGGCTGAGGAACACCAGGATTGTAGCAAATTGCCAAACAAAGCAAATATTTTGTTGAATTAAAGGGGCTATGCAACGATATTCGGTTTGAATGTATTTTACACCGGCTTACTGGCACAATGTGACTCAGGTACACCTGTACGCAATGGCACTTCCTAAGAAGTATTTTTGTCTGTGGGGTTATTTCGACAGTAAAAGTGGATTCTAAAGTGATAGCTTTATAAGCCCAACCACGCTCGAGGTCATGTCCTCGAGGTCATGCCCTATAATGGTTGTAACGCCCGTGGCTGGAGCTGAAGGTCACGTAAGCGCTGGTCGCATCAGTTCGTAGGTGCTGGTAGCTGAAGCTGACATGACCTGATGTCCTAAAGGTCATCCTAGACGTCGTCTTAGAGGTTGTTCTTGACATTGTCCTCTAGGACGTCATCCGCAATGTCGTCCTAGACAACGTCCTTGAGGTTGTCCTTGACATCCTTGAGGTTGTCCTCGACGCCGTCCTTGATGTTGTCCTAGAGGTCCTCCTTGACATCGTCTTTGATGCGTGCACAACATATTACAACGATTGCATCACCATACTATTTCCTTTCCAAATTGTTTTCAGTAACGACATCCCTGTAAAGCTACTGCATTTCATCGCGTTTGGTCGAATGAACATCCGTGCAATTTTTTCTTTCGGTCCTCGCGAAGCATGACAACGTAGTAACGGGATTCACATTGTTGTCATAGCCATAGGAATCGCCCTATGGTGAGGATATTTAAAGGGACCATGAAATGACCTTTTTACTTTTTCCAGATAACTTTTACATTAAACCGTCAATGTTCACTGAATGCCGAACAGGCATCCGTTTTCGTCTCGGTTTATTTACTTTTACACAAAAAATTAATGAAATATCGACTTTTTCTTTCTCTCCAACTGACCGCAAAACAAGCCGTGACGTAGGCTGTTTCCGGAACCGGAAGTTCTCTCGGCAGTAGGAGAATGGGAGCGTTAGCGGCGACGAGTTGGGGTGCGCCAGTAGGTTTTACTGCGCTGATGTCACCGACGTATTTTCTGAATCGGCGCCTCTCATTGAATTTCACAGCTGAGCAAAATTCAATGATATGTTGCGCTACAGCAACAGCATGGGACTTTTCCCATACGCCGGTATGCCTGTTGGGAAGTGCAGTGAGTCTTCCGGTGAAGACTCCAGAAGTCAACCCAACTGTCATTGTTGGTAAAAGGCGGCCCGTGTCAGTCGTTTGCAAAGCGACGTAGATGGAAACAAATTGCCGCGGCGTTTTTCGCGGCCTCGGAGATGCAGGAGCGAGCCGACATTAAGAAATATACGTTTGAACTACGAGTGTCAGCAAGAGCCACGTAAATACCTGTTCACACTCGGAACGGACGCGCGCGTTTGATGGAAGTGCTGTATTCGCGCTGTTGGTAAGCGCTTCGGGACCGATCTTTACGATTGCAACTCGATACTGACGCAACACTCGGCAAAGAAAGGTTGGACCGGTATTGCACGTATACCTTCCCACGAACTGTTACAGCTCGACAGTGACGTGCAGTCTGTCAGAATAAAAATGGCATACCAATAACAAAGTGTACATACCGTGTTACGAAGGTAATCCATACAGCGTTTATTTCAGCTCTATATCACACAAAACAAGAAGAGAGAATCGACGAGGGTCCCTTTTCGACGAATGTTCGTCAACACTGCCTCGGAAAACAAGGGGAAGAGATTGACCTCACCTCTTAATCTAAAATTGAGGTCAGCGATCAAACTATAATACGGGAAGGGTCCACAAAGGTAGCGCGGGCATATTCCATTCAGCACGCCAGCCGGTCGTAGGCAGACGGTCTTGCGACGAAGCAACGCTGCGCCGAGTCGGAGTGCCTGCTAGGCCTATATTCTGAGCAGCTCGCTTCGTCGGAGTCGGTGGTTTCGTGGCCATTGTCGTTTTTGTCGGGTGTTTGTGGATCCAGCGTTCTTGTTCGTCATGCTCTGTTTTAAGTACTTTTTTTCTTGCTGCTTGAAGTCGGCACGCGCGAGAAGAACACGTAGAAAAATAAACGTTCAGTCAGTCAGAATTTTGAGAGTAAGGAAATCAAAGGAAATAAACTTTCGTCGGCCCTGCCCTACTGCGTACGCGCAGTAGTTGCTTCGTTTACCACACGATAGATGGCGCTTGGCTCTCAGCATTATCAAATTTGGCAATTTTCGCCACAGATCTCTAATTATGCTACAAAATGTGGATCTGAATATTATTTAACAAAACTTTTAGGAAACATTCGCCGGCTATTTATTGTTTACGATCGCGGTGCTGGTGAGGTAGGCTCTTACCCAATAGGCGACGTGGATTCGGCTGACGTGCTCCGTTTCCGCGGATGCATCGTAGTGAAAAGGCGAAGGAAAGAAGGCGCAAAAGAGTCCAGTTTTCTTTTAAAAGTTCTATAGCAAATAATTTTTTTGGGCTCCCTATTTTTGTGTTTTTGTGTTTCTTTTCACACCTTTTACGACGTGCGGTGGATGAAATTCGATTTTAAAATCATTTCATGGTCCCTTTAAATGCAGCTCGTAGATTGGGCATGAGCACTGCATGAATGCTGGGCTTGGGCGCATAACAATTAATGACTCGACGGGCATTTGGGTAGTGGCTTGTTTTAAATAGCTGCAGTGACTGGAACATCCAAACCCTAACAATGCTTGGAGCTCGGCACCTGCCGTGTCCGTCGCCAACCCCAGTGCGTGGTTATGGTGAACATTAGTGGCATATAATTGGCACCGAATTGCGTGACTGCTCGTTCTGTTCGGGAGTGTAGTGAGTGAACCCTGCTAGTTTTTTTTCTACTTTTTTTCTGCGACTGTCATTGCATGAAGTGAAAAACTAACGGGTGTTTTTTTAATGTTTAGGTTATGAACGTCGAGGATCAGTTGTATGTGGTACTTAGTAAATGTACAAAAGTCATTAGATCACCCCTTTAAAGGGACACTGACAGGATATTTATGCTTGCCAAGGTTTTTATTTGTACATGGCATATGAGAGCCCAACTACCCAGAATACAATTTGCAGCTCTAAATTTGTTTTCTTTCTGCCCTAAGCACCGCCGGTTGAGAAATGGCCTGTCTGAGTCGTGCTCACTCCCTTCTTTGTGATCACGTGCCATTCTCTATGGTTTAGACCAGGGGTAGCCAAGCTGCGGCTCGCGAGCCGCATGCGGCTCTTCGCGTTTGAAAGTGCGGCTCAGTGCCATGAAAGGAGCCATGAAAATATTTTTCAACTTTTTCCTTAGCATTCCAACTCACAAATCGCGCAGCAAAACGAAACAGCTCAAGAAGAGGCAAAGGAGAACTCCTTTTTTACTCGGACCCTCGTTTGTGCCCGTCGCTCAAAATTCGGACGAAAGTTGCTTTCCCCACCCAGTTCACCCCTAGGCTCACAACGCTGTGGCAGCTACGTGCTCGTTGGGCCACCCACAGTTCTACCTTTTGCTACGTGATCACGCTCCCTCCCGCATACCCACGCGCAGAGAATGGGGTCAGGTGATGAAAGGGAGGCGGCTGACTGGTCCGGGAAGCACGTAGCTCCCACCGCACTGTCAACTTAGGGGTGAAGGGAATGAGGCCGGGTGTCACGTGACGTGCGTTGGGGTCGGTTGATGCGCTTTGGGTACTATGGATGTATTGCAGTGAAAAAGCAGAGAGCTTTCGAAGGAAAGGAGGTACGAAATATTCCGCTATGTTTTCAGATTTTCATACCGAAAATCAGGCTTTTGACTTTTTACCTTCTTTCTATTGGCCCACTAAACGATATGCTGTTAGTAAAATCCCAATCTAAATTCATTTATCCCAGCCCAAAATTGTTTCTTCGTGGGCCCTTTAATAAGACGTCCAGTCTTCAGCATAAGTGTTTTTTCACACACAGTGTTTTGTTATTTGTTGGTGCTGCCTAATCATAAAAAAAAATTGCTTAAAAGGCATGTCTGGCATGTCTAGTAGCGGTGTTTGTTGAACGTCCGTCTAGGGCACCTCTCCTTAGATCGAAGAGTTTCAAGAGACTGATGCCTCGTCTTTCTCTCCTCGTGCGGTGCAGCGGGCATCATCTGTGCCGCCCAGGTGTGCGGCGGCTGGTTCCGGGCCCTGGTGGTGGGCACCTCGGAGGACGGGGAGGAGTGCGACATCAAGTTCCTCGACTACGGGGGATACATGCGCCTGGCCACCTCCCTGCTCAGGCAGATTAGGTGCGATGCTTGTGACCAGTGGGGGTCCTGGCAGTAGTTAGCAGCCCTTGATTGAGCACCAGTTTCGTGTTGCACGGCTAAAGCAGGGGCCACTCGGACCGGCTGTTTACGTCGGGCTTTTTTTTTTTAAAGCTACAAGTTTTTTTTTGTTAACTGGAATGGATTTCTAACTATTGCAATGTTATTTAAAGCCACCAGTTTTTTTTATTCGCGGAAGTATTAAAAACTGGGAATTAGTGGTTGAGTTGACTAGCACACCCGTTCTGAGCATGTGGAGCGATAGCTTGCGCTGCAGTTCCCAGGGATCCTGGGCTCAATACCCACCCCTGCCCGTTTCAATCTGGATGAACATTGTACTGGCGTGCGGTCGCGTATCACTACTGCGTGATGCACGTTAAACCCTTAAGTGCCAAATTTTTTTTCCCCAAAAGTAACCTAAAAGTGCCAGATTTTTTTTATTTTGAATTGTTACTCTTCTAGTATTACTCATAAAATTTGGGAAGTTTATTACGCTAAAATCAGCGGAGGCAGAAAAAATATTTGCCAACTAATAATATGAGTGCTGCCATCTATGATCAGCGCTGCAAAACTATTCGGACGAGCCTAGCTCGTCTGTGGAATTGAGGGCAACTGAAAAAACCACTGGACGAGCTGCGCTCGCCCAAGGCATATTTAGCCAGTAAGTGGCCGACGAGCTCAGCTCGTCCAAGGCACTAAGGGGTTAAAGACCCCATACTAGCATTGGTGCTGGACTGTCCAAATTTATCATCTCCAGCTGAGATAGCAGAGGCCCATTGAGGCTGACTAACTTTGGGCTGTATAAACAGGCACTCAACATTTTTTTATTATTTGGGCCAGTTGATTATAAAGCAGTGCTCAAAAGACCTGTATAGCCAAAAAGTGTTCGTTTACTGGAGTGTATTTTTTTTTTTTATCTCAATGTTAGTTTTTTTATAACACTGCATCTCACAAACTCTCTTTAGGGCAGGGGAAGGTGTGAGCGTGCGACACTGATGGAGGCTTTTCTTGCACAAGCACTCTAGAAACTACACCTTGTTTCGAGGAGGACTCATGCTTTCCTTGACCCTGTAGTCATTCTATGAGGGGGAGTAGAGGCAGAGTCAACTCGCAGTTAAGCTATGCAGAGGCAAAAATTTTTGCGATGCCTTCCGTTAGGGTTGCGAGCATCTGCAGCCAAACGATTGGACGGGTGTGCAGAGACATCTCTGCCCCGAGCGTTCACTCCACTGTAGTACCGAACGGCTTGGCCACCTTCCCAGCCGAGTTGTTGTGTGCTCACTGATCTGGGGGTCTGTGGAGACATCATGCCGTTCTCTTCCGTTTTCAGGAGCGATTTCATGATGCTGCCCTTCCAAGCGTCCGAGTGCTACCTGGCCAACGTCCAACCCGCGGGAGGCAAGTATTTTTTTCTTGGGTGCTGCTCCAGGCACAGCCGCTTTGAGCACAGCGTTGGGAATCCCGACTGTCCGTGTTTTTCTCTCGGCTTGGGCGAGCCGGCCGGGCTTGAAGGTTGACGCACCGCAATGTGTGTGTCCACCTTTGGCAAACCTGAATTCTTTTCTTTGGCCTAGTGCAACAGTAAGGACAGCATCCTAGTTGGGACGGCGGCTGGTGCCGAAGTTGGACATTTGCACCATGGGCAGGCGCATGGCGGGTGCCCATTTTTCGCTAGTGTGCAGAATCGGACAGTTGCCATAGCATACCCCCCACCCCTATCGGTAGGAGTGGCCATACTTACCACGATGAAGTGATTGCCAAGTTCAAGCTTCTTCTTGTGACTGGTTCGCACATGTGTGTTTTACCGTGCCGAGTGCGTCATAGTCTTTTTTAATCACTGTCACTTCAAACCTGTGTATAGCTAGACTGAAGGCTTTGTAGTGTTTGTGAGACCAAATCTATGCACTATGTGTGAGAAATAGTCGCTCGTACCATCGTCGAAATTGTCGCATATAATTGTTTCACGGCTATCCGCCTTTATTTACCAGCCTTTATTCTGATGAGTTACGGCTTCCAAGTTAATTTGGTTAACTTGCCACGTGGAGTCTGGCACACGTGCCGTGCGGTGGCATTCTCTGCAACTCGGTGCCCCTGTGTGTGCAGAGGACGGGGTGTGGTCGACCGAGGCCTGTGCCACCTTCGAAGACCTTGCCCAGGGGCAGATCCTGCAGGCCCTCATTGTGGGCTATGCGGACAACGGCATCCCGCTGGTGCATCTCTACAGGGTACAGGGAGTCTCGGTGAGTGGGTCTCTCTTTCCTCCGAGGAGGCGACGCTTCGGGACTCGGAAATCATGTTGGAAGATACACGTGGAAGGGTACCGAGTAGTACAATTTAGGCACTCCAGTAGAGACAAAACAGGCGCTGGAAATCGGATTTGCTGCTCAGTACAGGTGCAAAGTCGGAGCCTCGAATTCAAATAGTTTGGTTATTCCAGAGATTAAATATTTAATGTGGCTTGCCACGGTTCTCATTCTGTCAATCCTAGACTAATTATTTGGCTCTGCTTGCAGAGTAAGGTATTTCATTGTTCAGTATCTTATGTCCATGCATTGCCGGAAGCTACCATCATTCTTGCAGGAGATGCAGTGGCACACATGTGAGCAGTGCCTGTTCACATCTCCAATTCGTTGTTCACCCTCTCCAGGGGGAAACGAGAAGCGTTCTAGTGAGGGCCCCAGGTTCCCCTGCTCAGCGGGCACGGCGGAACTTCTCACGATCATGGCTTGCGTCATTTCCGAATACAAACAACACTCTTCACTGCCCAATATAGTGCTGCAGCCGGTTTGCAATTGTGCTTTACTGTTTCAGTATTGTGTAGTTATTTATTTATTCATTCATCTGTTTGCCTTTTGAGCTGTTGCAGGAGTGTAAAAGTGCACATCAAAATAAACCGAGACTTCCTAATGTGCCGCATAATAAAACAAAAAACAAACTGCCATGAAAGCACATGAGTGTAAAACGAAACAAGTGCGGTAAATACATGCAAAAAAAGTCCGAGGACACCTAAGCACTTCTTGAGTTGCGAATGCGACAGCCGGAATATCATTCTTCCGCTTCCTTAGTTTGTCTGCGGCATAGTGGCGTGGACGGCCACATTCCGCCAGTGGACGGCCGAGCGCGTGCTTTCGTGAAGTGGCCGCGACGCACTGAGCTCGACCTCTCTGGAGTCTGCCTGGACAGGCTCTGTTGACTGTCTATCGTCTGTAGCAGCGATTTGATGGATATGCTGCTCCCATTGGCTGGCGCGCTTCATAGTTTTGAGGAACGAGGCTCCCATCGGCTGCCGCGCGGCGTAGTCCCGAGGAACATTACCCCACAGGGAAGCCCTCTCTATGGCAGCACAGCGGCCCGTTCACTGGTAAGAGGAAGCAGCTGGTCGCAGTGCCAGCAGAGCCCTCCCGGCCGACTCTGGAGGGGCTGCCCGCTTAGCTCAGCGCGGCGCAGCCACTTCACGAGAGCGCACACTAGGCCGTTGGCCGCAACCTCGAAAGTAGCAAAACATGGTTGTCCACACCAGTACGCTGCAGACTAACTAAGGGAGCAGAAGAACATTCATGCTTTCGCATTCTCAGCTCATTGGAAGTGCTTAGGTGTCCTCAAAAGTTTTTTTAATGTTGATGTCTAGTTACAAAGCAAAAATGCTTCGCTCGGAGATAAGCTGGTCTGGCATAGTCTGGGCAACTTGTGCCCGCTATCAGCAATATTTTCAGGTGTGTCACCCTTCCACGAAAACGAATTGAAAAAACGTGTTGAACATATTCGCCATTTCACTGGGATCACTAACAGCATGGTTATTATAATTGACGTGCTGTCGCCGACCAATTTTTCGGATGCCGATAATTCGGACTCTTTCGATATTTCGGACCTCAAGAAGGAACCGTACAGGCATAACCTGAAGCAAGGGACTATCTATGGCTTTTTAAAGCCCACTTAGACGTAATAAAGGCGTTTTTTAATCTGCTGATTTTTCGGACTGCTCTATTATTCGGATGTTTTTTCAGTCCTTGAGAAGTCCGAAAAATCGGTCAGCGACTGTACACATATCAGCCTTTATTATAGAGAGGTTTCTTCTGTACTTCAATATCACCAATCACATAGCTGTTATTATTAATACAAATTGCTATAATGTAGGCCCCCAATAAATGCTACTAGTATAACAAAATATTTATTTTAACCATACTAGTCTTTACACAGAGGTCGCATTTTGTTCTCTTTTTAGCGTTAGAAAAACTGAAATTGTTACGAAGATAAACACTGATTGTAATATAAAGTCCTATGCGTCACGCGTTGCCTTGCAAAACATGCCCTTCTGTTGTGTGACTCAAATTATGTTTTCTGGATCTTGTAGTGAGAACAGCGTTTTTTAATTTATGTGTTTTGTGGACATATTCTAAACTTATTACCCGTGGTGATATTTTGTAAAGTCTGTACTGATTCTGTTATTCTTGTGCTGGGAATAATGCTAAAGCAATAAATCATCTAAATGCCTATAACTGGTGTGTGAACATTTAGATGATTCATTGCTAAAGCAATGAATCATCTAAACGGCTAAAAACCTGTTAAAGGGCCCACCGTTCATTACTTCACAAGACAATTATCTGAGTGAAAAAAAGCAGCAAGAACACACAAATATCACCGCTGATTTTTTCAACAAACACAAAATTCCATGTTATCTCTAAAGGCCCGTTTACACACTTGCATTTGACTGAAACCGACTGGCACAAGACCGGTTTTTAAGCCTCTTGTGACGACTTACTACCGGCTCTCCAGCAGCGCATCCGGTCGTAAGCCATTGCAAGACGCTTTAAGACCAGTTTTGCCTGGGTCGGACACATTTGTCACAAAATAAAGTTTCCGCAAACAATTCCTTTAGCTCTAGCTTTAGTTATGCAGCAAAACACATCTTGAGGTAGGGGAGAAACCAAAGTTACAACGAAAAATTAAATTCAAACTAGAAGTTAGTTTCGGTTTCGTTTCTGAATGCGCTACTCCTGGCCTAAATATACTAAACAATATTTTCTTCAGTATAAAGGGGTGACCTGTGCACATAACACGCTAGTTTCCTCGTATAAGCGGGAATAATATGCGTCGCTCAGTGAAGCAAGCACACTAGACGGGCTCAGCAACTGGTATACTCGGACGCATTTCCGACCCTCATTATAACCGTTATTTTGGAAAAAGAGTGGCACCACCTATAGACAGTTGGAGTCGTGAATAACCCTCATTCTTGCACCATTGCACCTCTCACTTGGCAGCCCAAGAGCATGTGCACGTCTGTTGGAACTTTACAATGGGCACATAAAAACATTGTTTGCGTAAAAAGGTGGCACTTGCACACTACCCCGCTGTTATACACAATACTCAAAAGAAAGAAGTCCCAAACCTGTCAGACCGTTGCGAAAGCTGCATTGCGTGAGCGCTAACCAAAAGAATGTTTTGTCCGGAGCCCCGTGCTCTGCAAGGCTGCCTCCTTGCGCCACTTTTGGACTATTCTCGGTGGCAAAAGGGAGACGGATGCGACGCTCTCGTTTTATCGTTTGCATAGCACGCAGTCACCGACAGGGGGAGAACGAAGGGGTGCCTCTTCCGGACGCCTGGCTTCCAGCACACGCTCGAGGCGAGACTTCGAGGGCTGCAAGCTTGCGCCTAAGGCGGGGACAGCTGCAGGACCTCCCTCTCGTTCTCGTCCTGCCGGCAATTACACCCGAAACCTGACATATGGCACCGTCCCTTCCGCGCAGAGCGTGTTCATCAACCGAGAGCTGGTGACCCGGGGAGTGGCGTGCTGGCTGGAGCACGGCGGGGCGTCCCTCTGACCCCAGCTGCCCCTCGGGGCCCCCGTCACCCAGTCAGCCAGCGGCAGAGGGACACGCACCCCCGCACACAGGCACGCCCCGAGACCCGGGCCGCCTCTGCTGCCCCCCGTGTGGGCACTCCCGGTGCGCCCCACCTGGTGCTATTGACGCTCCGGAAGGACGCCGCCCGACAATGACCGTTGCTCTGCAAAGAACACTCGTTGCTCTCGTTGTCGTTGGGGGGGAGGGTGCCTCGAGGCTCCGGGTCAGAGTCCCACCTTCCAAAGTCGCGGGGTTTTGCGTACTCCGTCTTTGGGCCTCGTCGGCTTTCCCTGTGCTGGTTTGTGCATTTTTCGTTAGCAGTCTACAAAAGCTGCGGGCTCGCTCATGCGGCTTTCGCTTTGTGAGAAAAGACGTAGCCCTGCCGAGGTTGCGTTTCGTACGCAAAAGATGCAAAAAGGGTAATCGTAGCGGAGGCTCGAAAATTTGGTTTGGCCACTGTGTCTAGCTCACGACACCGAGAGAGTTGGTGCCGAGCGTCTCGGCTTCCGTGGGAATGCTTCGTATCTACAAATGCACCCTCCGGCCGGCGACCCGCCCCACAGTCGCTCGTCCGAAAGGTGCGTCGAGGTGTCCCCGGTCACTTTCTGTTCTTCCGACTTTTTTTATTTCCCGACCCGGAGGCTCGTGTGGCCCCAGTTTATTATGCATACCGTGTCATTCAATGTACATATGGGTGGTCGCCCAGCCTCGCCGCTGCGGCCTGCTTTGCATTGGTTTCTATCCCACTTTTGTGGGGCGCTTTATTCCTCGTGGGACACGCGTGGGTTGTTGTTGCCTCGTTGCTTGTATATAAGTTTGGCAGGTGTGCATGCGTGTGCGCAGCAGCTCTTTCCCTTCCCGTTGGAGGCTCTCGTTTTTTTTCTCTCGACATGTGTACCCCGTGTCTGGTTCATTTGCAAAGCGCCGCAAAGTGTTTACGGTCTCCGCTTGGTCCGCCTGCCGAGGAGGCAACGGATGCGCCGGCTGTGCTCGATTGAACGTGCGGTTATTTAAGACGTTGTGGATCGAATGTTGAATGAATAAAGAGTTTTGTTTTTCTTGTTGCTTTTGCTCGTTTGTGTGTGCTTTTGGTGGTAGGAGGTGCACAGCAGGAAAGCCTTCCCTTCGGTTGTTGGGACACCAGGTCATTCGTAGCCGCCCTCTGGAAGCATGGACGTGGGGTTAATTGCAGTCTTGTTTGCGACTATGGCGGCAGAATGTCAAAGAATGGCAACATCTAGACGAGAGTAAGACTTCACCAGATGGTTCTTAGCATAAGCAGGAGGGCATGTCCAACTACAAGCCCATGTTTCAAGAACAAACAGTTTCTGGTTCATGCTAAACCACTGTTTTTATTTCTCAAAGCGAGGCAGTGAATTCATGCTATCGCTTTCTATCTACGAAAGTCTATATTTTGTTACAGTAGTCTAAAGGTCTCTTAAGAATACCTGGCACGGACTACCACCAGCATTCTCTGCACTTCCCATGGCACGTTGCACTTGGGCGGTGCCCAATTTTCATTATTTTGTCACACTGAGCTGCCACCATGAAAGCACTTGTTACATGCACCACACTTGACACAACTTAATTCGAGAAGAGAAGACAAAAGAGTGACCAATTTGAGGCTTTCATTTGAAGCTTTCCTCAAACATTGAGCCTTTGGCAATGGAAGTTACTTGTAAGGAGTAAAAGAAAAAAAGTCGGACTAAAGTACCAAAATTAAATTTCGGACATCCAAGAAAAATTGTCAGTAGCCATCTATTAGGCCGATCTCGCCAGCCAGTTTGACTACGCCTTTGCCGCCGCATTGCATCGAGGGAACTTTAGTCTTTCTGCAAGTGTTTAGCACAAGACGGCACGAGCCCTCACATGCACTGCCGTCTACCTCCTGAGCACTAAAGTTATGGCGGCGTCTTGCATGCGCTGAAAGCTTGGTGAAATCGGTCTATTGGGAACAAAGACTTGAAAAATTGCAGTACAACTGGCAAATCCCTCCTGTTAATACTTGCAGCATACGACTTTCTTCCAAAGAAAATCATGATAATCGTTTAGTTCAACTTCCTGGCCCAGTAAGACTGCAATATAGCAAATTTTTTTTTTTTTTTTAGGGCGCAGTTTTTATGTGTTTATTTCCATGTTTGTCTGCGTAACCGTGCTAAATTTAGCGGACAAATTGACTTTACGTGACCTCAACCCCAATTAATTCCCTAGTAAATTTAGCCGGGAATAAGATTGGTGTTGAGGTCACGTGACGTCATTTTCTCCGCTTAATTCAGCGGGGAAACTGAATTGGAGGAGGGACATACCCCCTCTCCTCCTCCTCCTCCTCAAGAGCTGCACTCTAATTTCGCATTGCAGAGATTTGTAAATGTTTCATTTTTTTTTTTTCTTTGTACTTAGTCTATTATTGCACTTACACTTGTAAGCTCCGATGCTCCTAGTCACTGTTCAGCTGAAAGAAACGCATATGGTCCTCCGACTTGTAATTCTCCTTTCAAAGCTGCCCATCGGCTGACACAAGGTGGCAAGAAAACAAGTGGGGTGGAAGCTGCTTAATTAAAGATTACAAAAGCAAAATTTCAGCACTTTTTTTTTTCCGTCGTTTTTTGGCTTTTGGATTATGTTATAGCACCACCAGAGAAAGGTCTTGTTTGAAAACTTGAGAAAATATGTTTTCGAACAATTGCGAAACCACTCCTGCTAGTGGATGCCTCTGAAGTTTCCCTGGATGTCGTGACCTTGTGTGTCTCACAAGAGCAGTATGACGTGATGAATGAGCAAATTGAGCTTGAATGCTAACAGCTTGATAAACAGTTGTGGAAAAAGAAAAAAAGACAGTAAAATAAGGAAGAAAGAAAAATGGTTGTCTGGCCTGGCTTTGAACTGCTATGCTGTTCCTAACTCGCCACATGTTTGATGCCGCAGTTACTTTGGTGCTGCCGAGTCATTCTGGTTGGCTTATTATTCGGAACATTCTGCAAGTTCACGAGGGGAATAGGTCGGATAAGAATAATGTCCCATCACAATTGCAAAAATTGTTCCATCAGGCGATTCCAGTAGACAAAATTGTAACACCAGCCTTTGCTACAGGCCTGTGATGTCGTGTGTTGCAAGTATCCCAAGATGCATTGCACTCTTCCTGGCTGCTTTTGAAGCACCTGCCTAAGTGGGGCATTTAGAACAAAAATATAGCAATCTGTTCAAAATACAAACATAAAACTATGAAAAAAAAATACTGTAAAACCCATAATGTTCGTAAGCCCTCAATTTTTATGAATTGAAAAATTTGCAATAGTAAAGGGCACGCAAAAATTTCGGTCCTAAGGATTTCAATGCAGGTATCTGGAATTCATGAAATTTAGTGGCCGCAATTATGTCCTTCGCGACCAATTCCCGAAAAATAGGGGCCGCAAAAAAAAAAAGGGTTTTACAGTACTCTCATTTTGTGTTTCTTTGGCTACACTCGTTCATGTACACAAATATACAGCTCAAAAGTTGCTGATGTGACAGTTGTTTTGTAGAGTAAACAGCTGCCACAGCCTCCAAAAGGATATTGGCATTTTGCTTAGAATTTTAACTTCCATTTGGAGTATTTTGGCAATTGTGGAGTACTGTCAAGACCGGTTATAATGAAATCGACGGGAATCGGAAATCACTTCGCTATATCCGCTATTTTATTATAACCGACTTCGGTTAACGAAGTGCAAAAAAGAATGGGAAATCGTGATCGCTTCGCTGTAGCTGCTATTTCCTTATAAGCGACTTCATTATAACCGGTCTTGACAGTAATGGCACCGTTTCTAGGCTTGCTTTCATAGCTCGTCGTGCTGGCTGCCATTGCTGGGGCCGTCATTCAACCAGCGCCGGTACGTCTCGATGGGGTCCATCATCCAGAACTTGTGGAAGGATATGGGCCGCTGATGTGACAGCAATGCACTGCTGTAGTCGTCCGGCCTAGCCTGCAATGGTGCAGCAAGCCACTGTTCATTTTCCCCTAACAGGCAAAATGAACTGTAACGGGCTTGCACAAAACGTGTGCATATCAGTAGTGTACTACGCTAAGTCAACAGTTTGTAGGCTATGTAGGTGCACATCAGCAACAGATAACTGTCTTAGGACGTCTGACAAAACTGGTAAGTTTGCGATGTTGCCAGAGCCCGAGTTTCAAGAGAAACCAAGAGCAGCAATTGGGAGGTTCCAGCCTTGCAAGGTTAATCTCCGACAGCTAAAAAGGAATGTGTTGGAAATACTCAATGAGTGCGAGATGGAGAGGGACTCTTATTCTAAGAAATTTGTGCACACAACCTTGGCTCGAATAAATGTTGAGCTTTAAGAAAAAATTAAATGTGATTATATGGGGTCCCATACGGTTGCACTAATAGGTCGAGCTTGTAACGCAACAGAAATATGGGTCTCTCGCCCCTGCTTCCTAGTACGTAGTGGAACTGCATATCTTTACCAATACTTTCCACTGGTGTAGATTCAATGCTGAAGCAAGCCCCAGAATGTAGCCCATTTTGTTGTACGAGAACCAAACTCCAAAGAAAAGTCTCACTTTTGTAAATAGTAAAAGCGGACTGACATTTGAGAATGGCACACCCTGTGAAGACTCCAAGTCTTTCCATGGACTACCTACATTGCTATGGCAGCACAGATGCCTCAATAACAGCTGGACAGAAGCAGCACAGCTGTCTGTCAATAGCAGCTGGACAAAAGCAGCACTTCCAGCCCTGGCCTCACCTGGTGGAAGAGAGGAGAGTGGGTAAGGGGGATGCCCAGCCGCTGGAGGCAGGCACCCAACAGCATGTCATCCGGAGAGTCGTCCGAGGGACACGAGCACCCTGACTGGACAATCCTCTCTACCGTCCTCTTCGTGAACACCATCCTGCATAAACCGTTGTTGTCACCATGAATGGTGCCCACACCACCTAACGGTCGACCCTCACCTGTACAGATTGTGTGTGGTCAACACCTAACAATCATCTGGCATTATAGTTTGCCGAAATTGGATTCCTCCTCACATATCTTGTGTTGTCTCTTATATAAGGTAAGCAGCGCCGCCTACTGGTTCTGAAGACCAACTGACGAGCTCAGCGTTGCAACAAGTTGTCACTCGGCAACTGCACACCAGCTGATCAGATCACTTTTCCTTCTTAACATGCTGTTTCTTTTTCCCTCAACTAAGGCCCTTCACGAAAGAAACAAAAAAGGATTATGGTATTTCTTTGCAGCAGCAAACCCACTTAGTCACGCTTGCCAGAGACTGAACACGGGTGTCGTAATCCTTGGAAATAGAGAAAGACGAAAAGAATACTGCAGTCAATAACTGCTCCGAAACGACGCATCGTGTGGGAGACCCAGTGTTGTTCTGTCAAAGATGATCGCACATGGGAGAAAACGGTCACCCAATTCCTTGTTCCGAAGCTTCCATTTCACAAGCTCCTAGATCTCCACCTTGCAGAAAACGGCAAATAGCTCAACCTGCTGCAAACAATGTTGTCTCCCTTCAGCGGCAGCCACAGGTCAGAAATGGCACATCATTGAGCTGATGGAACGTCATGCTTTAAGAACATGTTTCTCAAACACCCACTAAAACCTCTTTTGATAAGACAGCCATTTCTTAACTCTTCTTAGCTCCTAGGAATGATATGCCAAGCTATCAGGCTTAAGTGCTACACTAGGCTTGATCGAGGAGAAAGATTGACCCATGCAACTAGAGTCCGTTGGTGGATAAACTTCTGACTTACCCCGAGCCACCGGTCAAGTAGTCGTAGCCCCGGCCAGACGCAGAGCCGAAGCCATAACGTTCCCCAAGAGCGATCTCATCATCCGCATTAAAGCAGCCCAGGAAGTCCAAGAGGCGAGGGATGCTGTACAAACAACACCAGTGTGGATTTAGTCGGGACAGATAGGTGCACAACACGACAAAGGTTTGCCTGTCATTGTATGGCTTAGAATTTGTGCATCCTAATGTCTGCAATCAGGCACGTAGCCAGGGGGGAGGCCCATGGGGCCCGGGCACCCCCCCCCGAAATCTTCCATTTTGCTGGGACCTCCTCTCCCCCCTCCCCCTCATACAGCATTTTGTCATGGGCGGCCCCCCCCCCCCCCCCCCCCCTTCGAAACAAAATTCTGGCTACGCGCCTGTCTGCAATGTAGTATACAGATTTTGACATGGTTTGCACGAATGTGGAATCAATGTTCACTTTAGTCATAAACCAGCACCAAGTGTAGTGAAACATTCCATTGACGATCGATCAGATGTAAATTTCAAGTTGCTGCAGCCTATGCAAACAACTTTCTATTCCAGAAGCTGCAAAATTTTAGCACGATAAATGCATTGTCTGTAGTACACCTTCGTGACAAGTTACAGATGCTTTGCACTGACGTCCACCATCCATTCGCACCACCAAGGAAGAAAGAGAGCGGGAAGCTGCTTTTGCACAAATTTTGAGTGACGGGTTAATCTTTTACAATCTCCTAGAGCAGTGGTTCCCAACCATTAATGTTTCGTGAACCCCTTCTCAATCGGCGAAGATGATGGAGGGTCCCCTTCGTGGTGAGGGGAAGGGAAAGGTGTAGGTTGTGATGATTTAAATGGATAGTATAACTAAGGGCTAGTGGGAAGTAGACTTCTCTCATTGAAATACCACGAGAAAACTCTCCCGAAAATTGGAACGTTTCTTCTCAATCTAAAAGGACAACTTTTAGTTGCCGGGCTTGACTGATGAGGCAGGGCTTTTCGGACCCCTAGAATGCCTTCGCGGACCCCAAAGGGTGTGTGGACCTCCATTTGAAAACCACTGTTCTAGAGGGAGAATAGCGACCTCTGGGCCCATCTGGGACACACAGAAGAGGCTCCCCATGAGAGGGGAGTTCCTCTTTTCCCAATTCTCTGGTGGTGGCCAAAGAGCTGATGGTATGACGTCAGGTGCAAAGCACGTATACACTACCGTAAAATATGGGGGAGTGCCCACCGCATTTTCACTGAAAACTGGGTTAATCTAGACATGGGTGCTTGTCCGGTCAAATCGGGCGCTTAACGTGTAACGTGCAGAATTCCCAAGTTTGGGAAATGTTAATAGTGGGCCGTTCCGCGGTATTTTACGGTAAACTACTCAGTGAAGCCCAGCAATTTATGGGATTAGTTGCACTACAAAATGGCATTAAAAAACATCACGTAGCTCAATGCCCATTTCGGTCCATTCAAAATCGGCCCCGACTGTGACCGGAATTCCCAGATATCAAAAAAAGGAGGCGAACATCTCGCCTGAGGAGCGTGTCGTCATCTGCCACCACCAGCCACCTGGTGCGGGTGTCAAGCAGCCCATTGGACAGGACGTGCTTCAGGATTGCCATGGTCTTTGCACAGTGACCCCTCTTCACGTTGCTCACCCCCACCGTGACCGTTGGAATGTCTGCGTCTTCTACATCGCTGAAGAATACAACTTGTTCGGCGTCCTTCGCCCATGTTGCCTTCACCAGCGGAACTGCCAATGGGGACCGTCGAGAATAGAAGTTGAAGGTGCTCAATGAAGTGGCTGGAGTCTGGGCTGTCAAATGATTGACTAAAAGTAACTGAATCACTGTAATTAACATTCTGAGTTATTAATTACTGTAATAGTAACAGTGTTACTATTACAGTAATTAATCACAGTTTGCGTGACAGAGCTGGACAGATTTCCCAGTTTTTAATATGTTTCTCTCACAGACTAACCTAGAGTGATATTTGAAATGGAATCACCCTTCCATTTTAATTGTTTCATTGCTTTCTTCCTCTCCTTTGCCCAGCATAGAATAGCTTGCTAGCATCTATATCTTTCTACCATTTCTAGTCTCTCTGTCTCTGAAACTTCTGTAAGTATAAATATTTTAGTGACAATTGACGCAGCATTTTAGCTACTGTCACGTCGCGCCCATGAGTAGGGATAACTCACCTCTCTCCTTGTGAAACTGGCTGCATGTCTTCACAGCAAATAGAACAGCATCTCCGGGAGCTGGGTGACCCTAAAGAACACAGAGGTGAACTTCCCACTGATTCTCAAAATTCGTTTCCCCAAGTGAACAAAACATCCTCCTGAAAACAGATGCCAACTGAAGCAAAGTCCAGCATGGTGACTAAGCCACGCAAATATAATAGTTACATGAACATAATCCGAGGCAAGCACCGCTTTTCCCAGTAAAAAAAAAAATGGGACAAAGGGCAGACAAAAAGAATGACTCTTTTTCCCACCTTTTATTTTTAACTAGGACGGGAAAAGACCCTCTCACCCTTCTTTTTCCTGCGCATTAGTGCTGGACACATGTACAAACTATGCTAGCACTGCCCATGTTGCACGAGAATGTTGATGCCAGTATATTGTACCATCCATTCTTGTTTTTCTAAGCTTCTTGCAAGGCAGGCTTAACAGTTTTTGGCCTTTTAGGCTGAGTGAAAATTTAGAACTCGTGTATAATTGACAAACCACAAATTATAGCAGCAGCCCATGAAGACGTCTGACACGCGTAGAAGAAAGTCACTTCTTAGGCTGCTTTGTCACTTCCGTAGCTCGGTGTATCAGAGTGCATGCTGCGATAGGGCTGATGCAAATGTGAGATTAATATGCTACGGTGTATTTTGCTTTTAAAAGAAAAATTGATGTCTCTTAGTAAATAAATATACAATTTAAGAAACAGGAAATGAATAGATGGCAAAAGGACTCCCTTTCAGGCACAGTGGCATCTCTTGGTGAAATGGGTAGCTGCAAATGTTGAGGAAATACCAGTATACAAAACAACCCTGATGCAGATGTACAGTGGGCAGCGACGTGAATTGGCACAACCGAGCGCTAGCTGATAGGGTAAAATGCTGTATGAGGTGCCTCCGGCGTGCTCGGCCATAGAAGGGGCTGCCGTAATTCTATAAAAGAAATTTGTGGCAGTCCCTTACATGAGCTCCTTATTGCTGTGCCCCCCTCCCCATATTTCACTGAGCGGCGACCAGAGGAGTTCACGTCTGCTTATTTTACTCTTGCACCTTGTTCATACTAGATGCGCAATAGCGCATCTAGTATGCACAATAGCGCTCACTCTAGAACATCTAGATGCACAATAGCACTCACAGCACCTAGCATAGTGATGCACAGAAAAACGTAGACTAAAACTTTAGTACAGGCACTTACACCAATTTGCTGTATACCAGCAAGAATAGATTCCAGAACCAATTAATGAACATCAGAAAAAAAAAACCACAATACGTCCACAGCTGGGGACGGACACCTGCTGCAGAAGGCCAAATCGCCGCAAAGTGGAGAGGGCCGGACAGAGGAGCGGAGATGAGTGGGATTAGCCCATTAAAATAAAAGATAAAACTCTCACACAAAACTCCATGTGACATGCAAAGACATATTCTCTTGACTCGGGCACACATAAAGTAAGATTGCTGGAGTAACTCTCAGTAAGAATTTGGGTGTTCAATATTGCGTGCCAAGATGCAAACATTCACATTAAAACTCTTACCTAAGAGGCGTAAAACACTTTAAATGTGCTCATCTGACATTCGCAAGACCTACATTTGACTTCACGGTCTTCACATTGAAAAAGTACGTTCGCAGACATATATGCGAGCTGTAGCTAACTTTGATCAAGACCACTGTGAGATTTCGTTGAATAGAAAACTCTAATTTAGGGAGGCCAGTGGCAAACCTGACGAAGTCGTTTGCTGCAAATACATTACTCAGCTTATTAGCCACACTTAAATGGGTGCAACCATAGGGCATCGATTCGAGAAATGACTATTATGATTGGCAGTAAATGGTCACAACAGGAAGAAGTGTGGAGAAAAGTTGCGTGTGACTGGTCCCCGCTCGATTTGATGCACTACAATCGCATTCATACAAACTGCTTCATTGTCTCTATCTGGCAAATCTCTTGAACTTGTTCAGAGTTACCGTATTTGCACGAATATAACGCGAGTTTTTTTTCGAAATTACGTGCTCCAAAAGGCACCTCGCGTTATATTCGGAATCGAGTTCAGCCACGAGGCGCGCGAGTCTGGAGAAAGCCAGAGGAGAAAGACATCCCTCCGGCTCAATGCAAAATATCCGGTGGGAAAAGAAGCGGGGGTGTGGAAGGGAATTTATTAGCTATTGGGCCACTTGAAGGGGAGAACAGAAAACATAAAAAAGCATTTTTATCGCTTTTGTGTTTGTACAACGCGCGCACGCCGCAGAAACTCGGTGGGCGCGCGCGTCATGCGGGAATGCGGGCACTGGCCAATTCGAGCCAAGCCGAGCCGGGCCGAGTCAAGTCAACACAAGCCAAGCCAAGGCCACCAACCGCGTTTACGCAATCGTGGAACACGAGGCATTTGTTTATGCAGAGGGACCAGAACAAGAAGTGTGATCGTGTATCGGATTCAGTAGTCTTTTTTTCTGCCTGCACATTGTTTAAGTTTCTGCTCCAGAATGATCTGGTGTTTGTGTGTTGGTTCTTCTGCTTGGTGCCTTGTTTGGATTGTGGGCTGCCGAGGAGCTCGCAAGAAAAGAGAACTACCAGACAAGCAGGTGCCGTGCTGCTGCATACCTGCGTAGTCGCCAAGTGGATTGTAAACGGAAGGACCTGAACTGTGAGGATGAGTGTAGTCAAAACATAAACTGATATTTCTTCTATTTCCATTGACTTCTCACATCTGCTATGCCCCCGAGTGCGAGAAATTGACGCGGCCTCGGTTCGCGTTATAGTAGTAATAATATTTTTTTTTTCTTTTTGAGGGCATCAAAACCTGCCCTCGCGTTATATTCGTGGTCGTGTTATATTCGTGCAAATACGGTAGTACATCTGATTATACCAGGTTTGCAACCAAACATAACCCTTGTCCTAAAATATGTGTTTTTGAGGGAGGAGGGGGGGTGCACTTTTGGAGGCAAGCCGGAAGCCGTATAATATTGCCTCGCGGGCTGCCGGTTGTCGACGCCTGGTCTACAGCAATTAATTTCTGCAACTCATGGCTTGGCAGCAATCTAGTAACCTGGCAAGAATCCCAGAAATGCGCGCTGGTGCTGTTTCAAAACCACCAGTTTTTTGTTTCATGGGTACTTCAACCTTAATTTTCTTTTACGTGCACTCTCTTGTTTTCTTTGAACCGCGAGAATAACGCCGCTCACACACGAGGGTGTCTGTCGAGCACTCCAGGTCACGCAGCTGCGGCCCTTTTCTTGCTTGAGGCAAAACGATGGAACGTCCTTCAAGAGCAGCGCTCCACACTCGGGAGTCCCAAGGAACTTGGCGAACTGCGAAAGAAACAGGGCATCAGTAACCGGCACTTCTCAATGAGGCAGAGACACAACTAAAAGCTGGTTCAGACATTTGCATCTGAGAGTGGTCGACTGCGTCATGGCTCCTTGCGTTCTACTGCGACGTGTAGCGCAGACCTCGGTTGCCATAGCAACCACCTTGTAAGCAAGTCGTGAAGCAGCCGGCTGCTTACGAGGTGATTGCCATGGCAACCGATGTCTCAGAGGACCATGCTGCAGAAAACAATAATTTGTATCATGTGTAGTGCAGTGATGTGATTGGCCGAAGCCGTTTTGGAGCACCTTCTGAAGCAGCCAAAACAGAGTTTTGGAGCAGCAAAACTGGCTTTTGGAGGAGCTAAAACAGTGTTTCGGAGCAGCAAAAGTGGCTTTTGGAGCAGATATTCTTTAGAAAGAAAAAAAAAAGATATTCATTTCAAGTGGCGGACGAACGAAGGACACATTGCTAGCCGCAATTGTTGTCAAGATGGACCACCTGGGAGTCTTTCAACATGTAACTGAAATGCCAATGACATGACACATTTTGCAATGCTTCAGTTAAATGGTACAAATATATTGGACCAAACTGCACATATTAAAATTTACTTGAAAATGACCAGCTTAGTAGTAAATATCACATCATTAGGTTGACTAGTAATGTAATAAATGGAAGCAGTCTCCAACTCATGAAACACGAAACTACTGCCATGCAATGTGAAATTGTTGCGCGAGCGGGGATGGCTGTTTGATCGAAACCATGCCACTCCGCTCCGTCTCCAACTAATTCCCAAAAAATGTCTGCAAAATGTAACTGTCCAACATACAAAAAAATAAATAAACAGTCCAGCGGCACGTGCTTGCCAGGCCGGCAGGCGAGGCCAAGCTAAACACAGAAGAAAAAAGAACCTGAACGCATTGATGCAAGACACCGCGAGCAAGGGTCAAAAAGTTCTTGGAGCGTTTTGTGCACTGACTGAACTCGAGACAAATAGGTAAGCACGCTGTGCGGGTTCAGCGTGCGGACATTGCCTTCTTTGCTTTAGCTCACTTCTCTTCACCAACATCTTTCGCGGCTGATTCGAGACGTACCGGGTTACGTCTCGAAAGAAAGCCTACCAAGAAAAACCTATGTAATCAATACTTCACACAGCAGTCTTTGAGCTAAACGAATGTTTGTAGTAGCATATTAAACAAGAACAGGATTGTTGATGAACATGCAGCAGTCCTTAGAATTCAGTTTAGAAAGTGCCATAACTGCAGTGATGTGGGGACGGCAACATCCGACGTCGCGCGACCATGGTGACTGGCAGTCAGGGACCAAAAATAGCTTGGCCACGGCCGTTGCTTTTAGGAGCGAGTGCTTCAGCCCATAAAGTAACCCCCGCCGCACAAAACATGGTTTCGTTTCAAAGCATGACGGCATGACTGGTACCCAGCACGCTAGCGTCGGAGCGTCCGCACACGCCAACGGCCATCATTGAATTTTTTTTAAAAAAGACGCGAGACGAGAGACGGCGGGAAAAACCATGCAAGACCGGATGAACGATTGATGCAGGGTACTTTGTGTCGGACGGCTGCTTGCACCACCTAGCTCATGTGTGCTCAATTATGGTACCCAGTTTAGTTTCGGTTTTCAAAGGTGACCAAAATTGGTCCTTTGGCACAGGCTTGGTGCAGATTACACATATTTTGGCAAAATGTAGCAGGATGTAGCAGGGTTAGCCCCTTGGCGCAATTGGTGCAGCAATCACATCACTGGTAGTGTGGGCTTTCTTTTTTCATATAATATATATATATAAAAGTGAAGCTGAAGAGGTTCTCGAAAAACAATGGGTTTAGGGTGAATTCTCACATGCTCTTGGCCAGAAAATCCAATATCGGAACTGTTTGTACCAAGACCATTACAGAATGCGAGTAAATCAAAGAAGGAGTGGGGAGCAGTGACGTCAAACCCAGCCCAACGGCTTCACCACTGCTTGAGAAGGGTGAGGGTACAGCTGACCACTGACAACTCCAGCTTCCCTACGACACCCTTGGGTACCATGTATTGGCTGTATGCACACATATGTAGAGCCTTGCGCAGATAACAGTTTGATCATTCGCATCCGATCCGCATATACAGACTTTGTATCTGCATCCGCAATGTTCTTAAATAATTGTATCCGCATCCGATCCACATCCACAATGTTCTTAAATAATTGTATCCGCATCCAATCCGGATCTGCAAACTTTATATCCGCATTCGAACCGCATCCGCAAAATTCGAAACCGTATCCAACCTTCAATCCGCGCATTAATTTTACATAATAAAATCAAGCATTATTAAAACTTAAAAAAACAAAAAAAAGTCTGGATAGTATTCTATTAGCCGTCTGCTTACCTTTCTACAAGAACTCTTTGTGTAAGAATACGGGGAATTCATGTTATCATATTCTGTTTTATCCTATTTACAAAATATGCAATCATCCTTCCAGAGACACTTCACATCGCTCGAAAGAGGATCACAGTTTTTAGATCTTCTTGGGGGTCCGTGACACTGACACTCTGTCCAGTATATGTGCTCAAAAGGAAGGAAATATATATTTATTTTTGTTTTGCAAAACCCATTTCAAGCAGGTGCATATTTTATAAAGATGAAAATTTTCAAAGGACAGAGTAATAACATTGTGTCATCTTTTTTAAGCCAAACAGTAAAAAAGTGGGAGAGGAAGGGCGCTTACTCGCAGCAGCAAAATACTCGTGTATATGTGGTAAGGCGTGAGTACACCACTGGGAAAATATCGCAATATGCAAAAATGGCAACACCTCAACTGCATGCTCGGAACCATATACAGTAGGCTCGCGATAATTCAAACTCGGATATTCCATACTTCCGGTTAATTCAAACAGATCTGAAAATTGTGGTTGTCCCGCAATGTTTTTAATGTATTTATAAGCCGCTTAATTCGAACGGCGTTTTCGCTTAATTCATACTTTTTTGTTCTCGCGGCCCCGTTCAGTGCGCTTCTTTCCGAGCACCAATGCACCGCAGAGAAGCAATACCCGCAAAGCTTGTTTTTGCGAGTGTTGCTTCTCCGCAGTGCACCGGTGCTCGGAAAGAAGCGCACTCAACGGGGCTCAAGCGGGCACACATTAGCGGAAAACGGCGTTCACATTATGTGCTTCAAGACTAGCAATGATGACCAAGACGACATCGAGGATGAGGAACAGCTCACTGGCATCATGCTTTCTGGCCCTGAAGTACATAATGTTACGCCGAGCTGGCGGAATATGCTAGTCTTGACGACGATGTCCGTGTTTGTCGTGATGACTCATTAGAGGACATAAGGAGGTAATGCCAGCACAGTGCAGCAGTGAGAGTGGAGATGACGATGAAGAAAGGGATGACCCACTACTAACTGTCACAGCCGCAGAGGCCTTTGAGCACATCGCTCAGCTCCGGAAGTTTCTGTCTGCAAAGGAAGAGTCCCGTAAAGAGCTACTTGTGTTGGCTGGTATTGACACTTTTGTTTTGAGATGTCATGTTTTGACTAAACAGTCCACAATCGACAACTTTTTTGCCGGATGAATAAACTTAACGTCACAGTTCGCTCACCAATGTGTTATGCCTGTACTTGGTTAAAATTAGGCCTATGTAAAGGAAACTGGCCAAAATCTGCTTTCTATGTGTAGCTATCCATGTAACAAATCATAATGTTGTCTAGTATCATATTTAGATGAACTTCTGACAATTCAAACTTCTGGTAATTCAAACTAAAATCTCTGACTTCCTGGAGTTTGAATTAATGAGTCTACTGTACTTAAAAACAACTCAGTGCCAACTGTCGAGAAAAAGAAAACACACACACACGCAACATTTCACTTGTCGAGGTTGTTATGCAGAAGAAACAGAATGTCGTCAACTTGGACTGATTCAGACTGGTTCGCCTTTCTTAAATTAATACGCGCTAATGACAAGTCTCTCTTCGTTGGTGCACTTGATGCTGGGGTGGCATGCTGATAAATACAAGCTTTACTGTCAGCTTTAGAGTGTGGACGGTGCGTCCATCGCGGTTCTCGGTCCAGGAACAAGTGCCCGAGCTCTCACTAGCACGCGATTGTCACGAGGCTCGCGGCATCGGCTGCTTAGTCCACCTGCCGGTGGCGCCGGTACATAACACATGCATAAACTGCGCTGCAAGAATGATGTGCGGAAACTCGTGCTGGCGCAAGTTCCACCACTCCAGAGGATCGAGTTCAGTCTCCTCAATATATATTTGTAAGCGAGGAAGCCACTTGCAGGTTTCCTCTACACTCTTGTAACTTGTACTTTTTAGCTTTTCTTTTTTTTTAAGGGGGGGGACGTTTTCCGTTCTTTCCATGCCAAAGAAGAACAATCTAAAGCAATCTTTAGTGAAAATCAAATCTTTATTGACATAAATAATGATTTTTTCTCCGATCGGCACCTTTAATCTAAGAGTGTAGTTTGCCCCCGCAATACATTCAATGGTGCGCTTCATAGTATCACTCACTCATTCACTCTACACTGTGCGGTCACGAACGTTTACAAGCCGCCTTGGGGGAAAAAAAAGAAATGTAGATCCGGATTTGCAGATATTTGCATCTAATCCGCATCTGCACCCCCTGGCATCTGCATCCGATCTGCAATCCGCCAAATCTGATTCATTTTTATCCGAATCTGCCAGTTTACCGCGGATATTTGCGGATAATCTGCAGATATGCAGGGCTCTACACATATGCCAACTTCTGTCCCACCCAGTTCTTGCCTCGTTTTTTTTTTTTTTTACTGCTATAGCCACTGTATGTCACACCCTCGTGTTTTGTAATAAACTAGAGAAATGAGGATAATTAAGCAGCTACGAAACAATCTAACAACTTCACAATGTCGTTATGCTCACCTCATACTGGCGATCAATCGAGAATTCGTGAGAAGCTGTTTGAGCCCAAGCTGTTGCAGCCCTGAAATATTTGCTATGGTTACCACAACTGAGAAGGAAGAAGATTACTATTAAGTTGCCTCTAAGTATTTATTGCCAATGCAACTCAAGAAGGGTCACACATGCATTTATGAAAAGCAGGGCAACTATCTTGCAGACTTTCTGAAGCCTCACAAGGATCAATTTGAATGCCTAGACTTTTAAATAATGCTACTTGTGAAAAATGATAGGGGTTCAGATTTGCAGAGTGTCCACTTTCCAGCGAGCACTATATGCATGCAAATACTTATAAATAAATGTGCTGGAAATGTGCCGGAAAATGCATTATTTTATATAGCCATGCCTCGTTAATGTGGATAGCTTGCTATGTAGACATCTTTGGAGACAAACTGGGTAAATACATGCACTATTGTCTTGTTACTGTGGGCAACTCACATTATAAAATATTTTGCTAGAAATGGAGGGGTCCACATATTATTAATGAGAGACGACTGTTTACACAAATGCACAAATGGACAAGTGGCTTGTAACACGACTTATATATGAAAAAATTTGTAACAAAATTAGGAGAGAGGAAGTGTCGCTGCAAAGTGCTTTGTGCTCTCACTCCCTATATCCTCATCTTTTTGCGGCAGTTCTCATTTATAAAATGGCCCTACACAAAACTTGCGCATCTCGAACAAGAGCCTGGGTTGTGTGAACAAAAGCCAATTTAAACTGTTGCTTGCTGATGCACGACTTGCGTCTCTTGCTCACATTTCAAAGCTTACAAAGCATACGCGCCAAGGCTAAGTTTCCTAAAAAATGCTGTTGAGTGCATAAAACATGAAAAACAAAATAACCAGAAATATTGCCGTTTCTATATCTGATCACGACACATATTCCCACTTTGAAAAAGCTCTGTTGCACCTACTCGCCAGAAGTTGCCACAAGTTTATCGTGAAGCGGTCCTTGTACTTGGTGTCTACCTTCCACGACATACGGAAGACGGGCGAAGCTTTCCCGATGCTTCAAGGAAGAGTGGAGTGATATAGTAGAAGAAAAGGAACAAAATGAGAAGCATGCCTCTCTAACTGGAGCTTGTACCAATGAAGCAGAAGAAGTAGTGAAGAGTAAGGAAAGAGGGTAAGGTAAATGCCTCCACCCCTTTCACCCTTCTTTCTCCGCAGTAATCTTCAGCATCTTTGGAAGCTGTGCCAGCCTCGACAACATCGAACAAAAAAACAAACGCCGAGTACCTATAATTTATGAAGCCAGTTACGACGGAAGATTGCAGTGAAAGCCTGCAATCTCTAGTTACTCACCTGTTTAAGGCTGAGGAGCTGAGGACCATGCCAGCCGAGATGGCTGGGTAAGCCAGGGACATTGGGTCATCGAAATGATGGATGATGGTGCTTTCCAGATCCCAGAGTGCATGACCTAAAAAGTGGTCCTGAGCAGACGAGACCATTCGTTTCATGTTGGACATGTCGACATGCACCCTGCCTACAATGAAACTGTTTCGTGGGCACCTGGCCGGCAAAGCTAGAGCCTGTGTCTCAATAATGTCAATAAATGACAATTACAACATGTGCTCCTGTGACACATCTAGACAAAACTGAGCACATAGTCTCCTGAATTCTCTGTCAAACAGTTCATGCCTCAAAAAAGCTCCCAAGTGCAGTCTTCATCAATAAGAAAGACCCGCTTGGAACACAGCAGTGAATAAGTGGCGAGCAGGAGCGCTCTGTGTGTTTTGGGCAGTTCCATGTCGGTCCGAGGACGGCAAAACTCGATAGTGCGGCCAATCTGAGTAGGCGCGCACTCACAAAGTGCCTTTCCTTCCCTCGAAACGACATGGAATTGCCCAAAGCATGAGCAGCGCTGCCATCGCCTCGGCCACATGCTCCAAGTGGGCCTTTCATACTGGCAGAGACTGTACATCACTGTGAACCTGAGAAGCGGATAGGTGGGTCTTCGTCTAGGCTATATTAGAGTGGTCGTCACCGTTTCGAGGTACAGTGTAGACCGCATATAACGTATGTCGCGGGAGTCGCGAAAATCCGCACTATAAGCGGTACCGCGCTATAACCAAACCATCGATTTTTCAGGCCAAAATACATGCCATGAGACAACTTACCTTTGTAAACTAATTTATTTTATATTAGATGAAAAATAAAGCTTAGTTTGAGGAACGTCTTTATTTCACCAGACTAGTACACTTCTTTCTCAAGTGTGTCAAACATTTTGAAAGAAATGAGCGACTTTCGCCCGGCGCAGCCTTCTAGCGGCATCGCGGGTTGCGGACGGACGTTGCGAGCGTTCAGGATTGCTAACCCTAATGACTCTTCTCCGGTGATTAAAACGCGTGAAAATTCGCATCCTTTATACGGTACGCACCAGTAATACCTTCAACTTGAGCACAGGCACGAAATGCTCCAAATAAGAAATCTGGGCGATGTTCGAAAACACAAATGCTTAGAAAGTACCACTGTAGTCGAAGTAAACAAACAAGACGACACGGGCGTTTCTGCCGTCTTGAGAGCGCTGCCACAACATCGCCGCACAAATAGCTGGATCTTCCCTTCTGGTACGTGCTGGGTTATCATAGCGGCACACAACGAAAAATCACAGTCATGGATAGCACTTTTACGCGGAACAATGAGTTTCTACCGCGCCGTCTACGTCGACGATCACAGCCGACGCCATATTTGCGAATAAAAGAAGCTGCCCCGCGACCGGCATGCAACGCGCGCGAACACTTCTCCTCGACTTGTGATTGGTCTGTCGTCGTGGTTGTTTCCAACCATTTCCAACGCAGCGGAGGGATGCACGCACATGAACGACACGTGTGTGCGTCCCTCCGTCGCTATGGCAACTGAAGCCTCTCTCTTCGCTTCTCCCCGCTTCTTCGAGCAACCTCCGTGCCCCGCGAGTGCCGCTTGCGGCTAGCGCCGTTATCTTGGTTATCTAGTGTCGCACAGGGAAGCGTGTTCCGCACTATAACCGGTATTTCCCCTCACGCGCCTGCATTTTAAGCGGTATGTAATTACATGGAGTTCTATGGGAGGCGAACCGGTGGTTTAAAAAAGCCGCATTATACCCGGTCCTGCACTATAAGCGGTTAAGTTGTAAGTGGTCTATACTGTACTACAGTTGCTCGAAACGGGAAAGTATGCGATTTGTTAGAAAGGCAGCTGAAGCCTAATTAGCTGCCCACAACGAGGCTTTAGCTGCCTCTCTAACAAATCGCATACATTCCCGTTGCAAGCATCCGTAGCACCTCGAAATGGTGACAACCAAGTACATGGACAGTTAGCACATGAAAAGTGTCTGAACTCTAATACCTGCACAGCTTGCCTGTGCACTAAAGAATGGTCAAAAGTAACCAACAAAGTGCTGAACTCTGCTTATTTTACAAACCGTTTGCAAAAATATATGTAAAACTAACAGTAAAAAAAAAAAAAAAAAAAAAATTAAGATTGTTTTAAGTTTATGCAAAAAAATGGTATGTGATAAACCCCTAGAACTGAGAGAAAAAAAGAAAAAAAAAAGATTATAAACAACATAGCTTTGACATAAATAGAAAATAAATAACCCGAGCCAAGGACCTTGATGTTGGAGGGGAAAGCACTGGCAGACTTCACAAAATAGTCAGCTCACTTTGTTGACATTACCAAGGTCCATTTTTCTACCCACTAAGCTGCAGGTGGTGCCCTTCAAGCTCTTTCATTTATAACAATAATGCCACTACCGTAAAATCCCGTGAGGGTGTCCTCCCCCGTGAGATCGCCCATCCCGTTTTTCTGGCTAAATATCTAAAACATAAAAATTCCGAAATATTGCTTACCCCCTATTCACGTTGGACATCACACGATGCCCGACGGGAATCGCAAAAACTATGCGATCTGCGGTACCGGTACATCTGACAAGGGAGTTTTTAGCGGGTTCATGCGTTTTTGTCTGTGATCTGTGCGTGCGTTATGAATTTTTGCTGTCGCATCCCCAAGGATAGCTCACCCCATGTTTTTCCAAATTTATCTCCTCATTTTAGATGGGCGTCCTTACAGGATTTTACGGTAGTGAAAATAAGTCGTTATTCACCTGGCTACAAGCCTTTCTGAGTGCACATCCTCAGAAAGGATGGGTTGTCGTCACTGGTGCTTATACACATTTGCAAGTATGGCCTCAGGGCTCCGCCATCTCGTTCAGTTGAGGTGCACTTGGGCACGGCCATAATCCTATTACGAGGCCTTAGCAAGGCGTCGTAATCAGATTATGACGCGCCCAAGCGAACCCTAACTGAGCAAGAAGGCGGCACCCTGGAGGCCGTGCTTGCAAACATGTACAGTATTATAAATTTTGAAGTGTTTACATAATTTATTCTTGACAGAGGTCAGGAATAAAATAAAAATAAATGCAAAATGGTCAATTGAATTTTTGGCACCTTCACATTATTTATTGACCGCTTAGGAAGTTTTATTGTAGAGAGAGGCCTTTAACCCTTTGATGGCTGTCACCATACATGTTCGGTGGCAATTAAGCATTCAATAGTGCCCACCGCAAGATGTGTCGCCGTTTGTTATGTCTTTGGGAAACTATAAATTTTGTTTTGCACGGTGTTCTGCTTTGCTGGTGTTATATAGATTTCAAATTAGACGCTCCGCGCACTTGATACGCGTGAGGTGGCCGCTTTGAATATCAACTGCTCCGAAGGTAGCAGCAATTGGAGCGCTGGTTCTTCCAATTCAGACTTTTAACGCTTCTTAGAATTAAATTCAGGGGATGAGAGCTTAAAGGCCGACGTACAACGTCGGTTTTCTGCAGGGAAGATAATCCTCTCAGCGTTCCCTTCTCCTAAAGCGCAAGGGAAGTCAAGCTGTGGCAAGGTAAAGAGTGGAGAGTGTAGGAAAGGAGGAGCCAGGCAAAAGTGGAAAGCGTGAAGTGTATGTCGGTCTTTAACATCCGATGAAAAAGTTCCGTAAAGTAACTCCGGCTCTATAACTGAAGTTGTCGGAATGCCGCACAACTGGACACACCGAAATGAAACCGAATGGTAGAAAGGTGACAACGTCTTTGCCTTCAATATTTCCATTTGATGCTTTTGAATGAGAACAGTTGCAAGCACTATATGTGCTCCCGCTAGATAATGAAGACGAAACCTGAGCAGTGACCCCTTCTTTATACTGTTCCTCTGGAAAGAAAACCTGTCACTGGCAAGCATCGTTTGGAAAAAACGTTTGACCATCAAAGGGCTAAAAACCAGATCAGGCGAACGAACACATAGAAACAAAACAGCTAGGCACGTGTTTCACACAAATTGTGTAAAAACAAAAACAAAAAGATTGGCCTAAATAATATTTGGTCTGCATTGTTGACGGTCTCCAATAAATACAGAAAACTGGAAACTATAATTAAAACCCGCATTTTTAAGACTATAGGCCAGTGGTTCTCAACCATCGATGTTTCGTGGACCCCTTGTGGATCGGCGGAGGTGACGGACGACCCCGTTCATGGTGACAGGAGGGGAAAGGTATAGGTTAAATCTAATAATGATTTAATAAATGGATATAACTAAGGGCTATTGTGAAGTAGACCTCTCTTATCAACTTTTATTACCGGGTTTGACTGATGAGGCAGGGTTTCGCGGACCCCTAGAATGCATTCACGGACCCCCATTTGAGAGCCACTATTATAGGCTAACAATCAGTGCAATAGGGTGCATATTAAAAAATCTTACATCAGAGCAGTTGTATTTGTTTAGTAACTTCACAAGGCGACCAAGGTCCAGCTGGGTTGAATCCTCGCAGAAAAAAAACCATCGGCCGTCGTCCCTGTGAGCCTCGAGCAGCCTGAAAGGCACAAGAAAACCTTGGTTAATCTTATGTAGCTGAACCTGCATAGTAAAGGATATGCATAGAGCTTGTGGGAATCCTTAATCTCTAACTTTGATGTGAATGCGACTGAGCGTACTGATTGTGTTATCGCATGCAAGGGTTGTGAACCTGATAATGTTTAGATTCTCTCCCTTTCTGTATTTTCGTTCCCATTCATTTGGGGAGGTCTTTCCGATCCTCCCTCGAGAAACCCGCCATCGCGAGGGAGCTTGCTCGCCTGTGCTCGAGCAGCGGGAAAGTTTACTTTTGAAAGTGAAAGGTAAAGGATTCATACTGTTGTCCTCTAACAACAACACGCAATCCCTTTGGCTCTCCAGTCGACGGTGGTTCGGGGTCTATGACCCGCGGCGCTCCCCTGGCTGCAGTGCGTTTAGAAAAACCTCGTTCAAATTAACCCTGTTAGATCTTGATGATCATCTGCTATGGCTTTACTACTACTCTCCTGGTAGCGAGGCCGCATGGCGCAACTGTTTTTGAACATTGGGCCTTATGGCTCGGCCCTGTTGTGTAACTCAATCTCCACAAGCTAGAGGGTCGCTCCATCGAAAACGGTCTCATCAAAGACCAGCCTGACCATCGTTTGATGATGTGACAAAAATGTGCAAAAGGATTAGAAGAAGATGCATGCTCATTTGTCGGTGCATTGAGGAAACATCGGTGACAGAGGTCAACTGGTTAAGGTGTGAAACTGTAAAAGTATGTAGTATATCCGAACCAATACGGACGACAACACATGCACCATGACAAGCGACGCCACATCAAGAATTTCGAAAACTCTACGCTTGCCTACGACGAGATGCGTCCTCGCCACATCTCCCTCAGCATCTTTGAGACAAAAGATCCCATACTTCCTTTCACCATAACTTGGCAAAGGTCGAGCGCTACAACCCTCATACGACAGAGCAAAGAACGTGCTGGTCCTCCACTGGAGGGGTTCGTTAGGCTGATACATTGTCACACGCCTCACTTCATTGCTCCGCGTGGTTTGCTGAAGACGTAGTTTTTATTGTTTACCAGATTATGCCAAAATTAAGTATAAAAGCGAGCAAAACAACTTTCTTTGGAGAATGTAGTCTGCCTCCTCACCGTTCAAGAAGGGGAAATATGGTCCACGAACCCAACACGTCGGGCCAATGTTTGTGGGTCAGGTACACAATAGGATCTCCCTGAAACACCAGCGAGGCTGCAATCAGTTGCTGGCATGGTTGCGAGAAATTAAAGTGTGGCGTACCAGACTCAGTGCAGCTGCCTGTTGATGTATGCTCTGGGAAAGGAACCTGGCTGCTCCAGCACTGAGGCTGTTTTCTTGAGTCAGGACGACGAAGACGATGCCTGGCTCTACCAACAGAGAATGCATAAGTTAGCCAGCCAGGCTCCTGAATGCTTTCCGGGTTTGCATCTGCGCTTTTGACTAGACAGAGCGCAGTGCAACTCAAGAACATTTAGATGCTTCCATTTGCATTTAATCTTTTGGCGTTAAAGCATTCCATCACTTGGTGTGATGCTGTAAGTATTCGGGCTATTCCTGACAGAAAGTTTCCAAAATTTCCAAAGCGAAAAATAGAAACGATCGAAATAAATTAGAGTAAAGCTATACGCACTCCGGAGTGCGCTTCGCGCGGAAATGGCTATACGCACCCCTCCGAGAGATCATGCCGCTCGGGCCACCCTTTTCGAACGGCGCGTGAATCACTGGGGCGCTCGTTAACACAGCCCCCCGCCTGCGTTCACGCCGCTTCGCGGCGACAGTATCGGCTGCTAATTACAAAGCGTAACCAGTACACGCCGCTTCGCGGCGTCCAGCCGGCAATCCAAGCCCCGCTGTCCCCGATCGCACCTCCGGAAAGGGAGTCCGCTACCATTTAGTTCTGCGAAGTTTCTCGACAACATTCGATTTTTTTTTTTTTTTTTTACTGTTCATCGCAAAAAAGGAAATATCGTAAATATCGCCAAATGCCTCGACAAAACAAAATGTTTGAGAAAAAAAAAAAAAAAAAAAAAGTTGGCCCACCGCGGATCGAACCCGCGTCCACTTGCGTATGAAACGGACATCCTAACCCCTATGCCATGGCACCGCTTAGGAACCTCGTTGTGTCCACTCCTTTTATACGAGAAAAGCGGAGTGCGTATAGCCATTTCCGTCCAAAGCGCACTCCGGGGTGCGTATAGCTTTACTCAATAAATTATCCTTTTGAGATTAGTTTCTCGATGTGCGAAGCAAAATTCGGACACACGACTTTAAAGACATCTGGTTCTATGCTTCTATTGTGTATCAGCCATTTCTTATAGGAATGTAGGGAACGCCTAGCAATCCCAACCCGCTCGTTCGATTTGTCTTTTCTCTCTTTTACTAATTTTAATGAACGATCGTCTCACATCTTACCTTCAAAACCGTCTTGATGACTAGCAGCGTGCGAGATTGTGAGTGCCCATAGACAAAATAGATGCTTCATAAACGTTTCCATCTCATCGTCAGAGCAACGGAAATGTGTGTTTGCAAGGCGCTTTTATTAGTTATTATTCTTAGCTCAGAAGGCAAAATTTTAACGAAAGAAGCCAAAGTAAACTAGACTCACACAGAGCAGACGTAAACCACACAAACATTTCAAACGTCGAAGCACGTGGGAAACAAAAACCTGACGTATTCAAAATTCTCATTAAATGTATAAGTTTGTTTTATACAATTGCTTTATTGTTTATAAATTTAGACAACCTAAAAAAATTTGGAATGGTTTTAGTTGATAACATTTAAAGACACCGGTTCTTACTAGTTTTTACCCCTTTTACCAGCTCAAATTCAGGTTTTGTGGAAACCGAGACATCAAACATGGCGGGCTCAGTCGGCGATTTGACCGAAGAGATGGACACTGATCCCGAAAATAATGCCGACGAGCCGATGCAAGATGAAAGTTCCGACTCAGACAGCGACGTTAATGAGGACACCGAAGAAGAGAAGCATATTTTGGAGCTTGAAGACAAGGTGGGCAGCCTGACAGCTTGGCAGAAATGTGACGGGTATCCATGCCGTGTCTCGCTTGTCGTTGCTGTTGCGATCATCCACGCAGTAGTGTGTCACAGCGCGTTTACACCGACCACTTCAAATTCTGTTCTCAGATCAAGAGCAACCCTTTCCACTACGACAGTCATATGGAGTTCATCGGGTATCTTCGCAAGACGGGAAACCTTGACAAACTTCGAGAAGCTAGGGAGGCTATGGCCAAGATTTTCCCGTTGACACCAGGTAAAGTTCTTGCATTGTTGGCGTTTAGATTTATTCTTTAATGTTTGCAGCTGACGAGCCTTTTTTATGTCATTTTTTTTTTCTAGAGCTGTGGTTGGATTGGATTAAGGATGAGTCCAAGCTCTGCGAAAGCGACGAAGATAAGGAAAGGGTGATCCTGCTGTTCGAGCGTGCTGTGAAGGACTATTTGTGTGAGTACGAGCTTTCCCTGTGTGGGTACGAACTCTCCTACGTTTTTCTAGGGAGTCAAGGCTCTCAAATCATAAATCGACTTGTAACTGCTTCTTTTTTCTTTTTTTCCTCTAAGAGTTGAGGCAAGATTCGCCATTCCTCGATGCAATGCCAGCATTGTTTCAAATGTAATAGAGCAATATTTGCTTCATTTCATACTTCTGTTTGATCGGCAGACAGATGGAAGCAGGCATGGCTTTAGCATATTTGGAGTTTATTTCGTGCTATGAAGGCACATTTATTTATTTACCCGTTGTTTACAAGCATTGTTTATTGGTGTGGAAGGTGCATCTGCTGCCACTCGTGAATGTTGTTCAGTAATTTACGAATCAACATTGCAGTTATTGCAAGAAGAACTGCAGATTCCTCTGACGGTTGGTCACAAGATGGCCCAATCTTGCCGCTCCCAAGAGAACTTCACTGTCCTTTCTGCTTAGAGCTTGGAGTTGGTACTCCGCAATGCACAAGGCCTCTGACAATGATTTTACCAATCAAAAAGTGGCATGGGGGGGAGGGGTTTACTTAAATGAGTTAACATCAGTAATACACTGCTTTTGTGTGCTCTAGCCTCCTTTGCCTCTGCAGTTGTACTCGCTGAGAAAGGAGCACTTATAGACATCATAACCCATGTTTAATCTCAACTGTTCAGTTTTGTATTCAAGCGCTATGAATAAGAGCAGTAAACAAGCCAAAAATTGCGCGAGATTTTTGTTGCTTACTTTTTTCTTTGAGTCACCTGCATAATGTTTCGCATAGATTTATTGAGGCCTCTAAAAAAATTTCCCAGGCTAAAAAAAAAATTGTGCGACGATCATTTGATGTGATGCATACAGACAGCAAAAGCCATACTGATTATTTGATGATGACTATCAATTAACATTGCACCGATTGTGTGTCATGTGGGGACATAATATTAATATGATGCGTTGATTTAGCGTCGGTACATTGTTGATTAATAATTGATTTTAAGGTTGTGATATGCTTTCCCGCCAAATTTAGCAGTGAAACTAAAAATTTACGTCATGCGACGTAAATTTTTTCGCTAAATTTAGTAGGGAATCTGAATTTGTCTGTAGGTCCCGTGACATCTATTTTCCCACCAAATTTAGCGGGGAAACTGAATTTTTGAATATGTCACGTGACACCAATGTTTACGCTAAGTTTAGTGGTGAACCTGAATTTTTCTGTAGGTCATGTGCCATTAATTTTCCCCCTAAATTTAGCGGAGAAACTTTCCATTCACGCTCATGTTGTCGCGAAACCGGGAAACAAGCCACTAACAGCTGCCACTGTAAAAACATGGTTCCATGTGGAACTCGACTACCCTCTTTTCACAGAGAAGTGGCTTACCTTTTCCTTACCAGTGCCTCTTTGGCCCTTCCCTTCCAGCGGTGGCCCTGTGGCTAGAGTATGCCCAGTTCTCCATAGGGCTGATGGGGTCCGAAGGGGGCCTGGACCGCGTGCGGAGCGTCTTTGAGAGGGCCATCACGGGAGCCGGCCTGCACGTGTCCCAGGGGGCCCTGCTGTGGGAGGCCTATCGGGAGTTTGAGGCCGTCCTGCTGGCCACCATGCAGGTAGGACCACCGCCGTCCTGGCAATGTTCCACACTGCCTGGGGACAGTTACACGAATGCAGAGGGGCAGAAAATTGGCTTAGAAGGGCGAGAGGATGAATCGCGTTTTCAGTTTCTAGGCCAGGTGGCGCAAGCTAATGCCTGTCATGAAGGATACAGCCGTCGGCATCCATCCGTAGTCGTCGACGAGACAAGAACGGCAGGTGGTCTCTCAATTGTCCCGGCTCCGGCGCAAGCTTATTACCTTCAACATGTTGTGTTGTCTCGTGAGCCTCAAGCGTGCGAGGGGAGCCAAAGCACGGCGGAGGGCAACGGGTGCGTGCGGGAGATTGGACGCCCAAAAGGGACCTTTGCCGGTCTCTTCCTGTTGGCAACCGTAGGTGCAAGCTGCCACTTGGTTAAAAGAGTGTTGTCACCACAGTGTTGTTAACTCTTTCCTGATTGTGAGGGAAAATGCCCATTTTGAGTAACTTTTTGTTACGTCTTTTTCCCTGAAAAAACTATATTGGGTTTACAATATGATGGTGTACATAGGAATGAAGCTAGGTAAAACATAGAAACTTGAGTTCTAATGCACTATGTTGTTCGTCAAACACAATTGTTTTCCACAAATTGGTCTAAACCGGGTAAATATGTTGAAAATGAAGAGAAAACGCGCCAGAAATGTTTGAAATTTATGTAATGCTTTTCATCTTCGCAACAAAAACCTCCGCAAGCATAAACTTGAGCTATAGCTCGAAAAATGAAAGGCATTTACAATTTTTTGTAATTCCAAATTAGAGCACAGCTTTTGAGGAGGAGGAGGGGAGGGTACGGAGAGGAGGGTATGCCTTTCTTCCGTACCTTCTCCCCCTTCCCCTCCCCTCCTTCTCCTTTCCCCCTTCTCCTCCTCCTCTCATTCTCCTCCTTTCCTCGTGACCTGACCCTCGTAACGTCACTTGTGAAGGCGTCGTGAAGGTTTTGACCTTCGTCGTAACCTTTGCCATTAGAACTGAAATACAATGATCTGGCTTCTTCACCGGACCCACTGCCGCCATCCGAGTCGAGCAAGTTGATAGAGGATTCGCGAGAATCGCCATGCTTGCGAGCGCATGCCGGACCAATGGAAGGGGCCTCGGCCGTCGCGCAAGACGACGGGCCGTTGTCGGTTTCACACTCTGTTTAAAAGTTGCCGCCACGCAGAAAGACGAGAAACGCAGAAACCAAAACTGTAGTCTTCACACTACTTACGACATGGTGCGCTGAGTGTGAGAGCTCCGTGGGAGTTTCGCAATGGGCCTCTACAGCCATTGATCGCGGATGACCAACGCTCTGTGGGCACGGTCAGGAAAGAGTTGATATGGGCACTTCGATTCCCCCAAATATTGCTTGTAACGTGAGTCTTTCGTTATGACGAGACAAAAATTGTATGGCAAATTGCTAAGCAATTGTGTTGGATACGTGAAACATTGCTTGCGTTTAGCGGCACTCAGCGTTTCCAGACGCCTACGTTCACGGCGCTCTTCATCACATAGTTTAAAGCGTACAATGTGTACACTTGATAGTTGTTCCTAGAATGAAGTGATACTACCACAAATCAGGCTGATAAACCTGGCAGTCCTCCAGAGCCTTCCGTACTTGCAAGCTCCTCTCCCACAGTGCGTGCAGGTGGTTGAGCTCTTCCACGCCTATCTCACACCTCCTCGCCCACCCCTTTGGTCACATGACCCCCCGTTAACCAGTCAGCATCGAGCAGCCCACTCCTCCTCTGCAACCCAATAACTATGATAATCAGTGCCGATCCTCGCAGCTGCGCTTTTATCCAGCATTTACTTTTATCTGGGCTTCACAAAATGATAAACACCTAGCCAAAGAATGTTTCACGTTAGAATGTGTGACAGGGTGCCAACTTGCTATCTCCCGGGCGCAGTGCAGATGCCCCGCGAGGCTTTCCCGCCAAACGGCACCTCAACTCGCTGTGATGTGTCGTGACATGCTGAAAAGACACTCGCTTAACAATCTATATGGTCTGGGTTACATTCCCGCCTGGTGAAAACACTTTCTTACTGCAATGACCTCTTCTCCCGCACTCAAGGTTCCACGCTTTTAGCAGGCTTCACCTTTGTGCGGGCTTCACGAAATGTCAAACATCATGTAGCCAAAAAATGTTTCACATTAAAATGCGCCTATTTACCTAGTTCGTCCCCAAAAGTTTTGTCTTGATGGCGGGCTATCTACTAACAAGGCCCATACTAACGAGACATGATTGTACATCCGTTCATCATTCATGGTTCTCCATGGCTCGTTGGTGTTCCCCCACAGTCCAGCCATTGGTGCCGCATGGTTCAGCCTTTTTGTTTCAGCCCGCATATTGTCCAACTCCTGTTCAGCTGTAAAAAATTGTCTAGTTACTAGTATCAGACACAGTCAAGGAACTTTTCTTCCCCCTCTAAGTAGTAATTTAAGTGCGGTAGCATTTCTTGGGCTATCGAACTATGAGATTGTGGGCATCTGTCCATCACAGCTAGATAGCTAAATTTAGTGGGAAAACAAAGGATCCGAAATTCTATCGCATTACGTCTCCTTTGGCGGCAGCCAGAGAGAAGGCGTCATTCTGTCTTGTTTTTCGGATGGCCCCCCAAAGGCTCTTTTGTTAGTCTTTGGTTGACTTGAGTTTTTCTCGAGGCAAGTAAAGAGACATTGTGTGCCTGTCCAAACTCTGCAAAGCCTGTTCAGGACTCTGGCTGCTGCCAGAGTCCCAAACAGGATCTGTGTCTCTGTCTGAGACGGTACCCCTGACTAATGCTTCTCCTTTTGGAACCCCCAGCCGAGTGCGGAAGAGGGCGGCTCATCAAGCGACCAACGGGACCAGTTTGTGAGCCAGAGGAACCGAGTGTACAACCTCTACAAGCGGCAGCTTTCCGTGCCACTCTTTGGCAAGTCCCCTTAGTTCTCCCCTTTCCGGCTTACCTTTGAGTGGTGCCAGTACATAATTTTTGCCACCTTGAAACTGGACACTCGGGAGAGCTTAAAAGGAAAAAAACGTTTTGGATCTTGGGAGGTGTTACTCGTCAGTTTGCCCACATACCAGTTAGCCACTCTTCGGTTCCCGTTTTTTTGTTTATCAACAGAAATCTTTCTGTTTATTTTGTTCACCTTGGGGGATGTAACTGAAACAATGTGAGAGCCACAATTGTTGCAAAACCACGGGATGCATTTTCATTGCCGGACTGCCGCGCTTGTGACACGAAACCGTGGCGGAGAATGTGATGCACAAAACGTGAATGCGATCTCGCAATCAATTTCCTGCGCCTGGCTGTGCTTTTTTTCCAGGCATGGAGAAGACCTACGAGGAGCTGAGGGAGTGGAGCGAGGCTGCCATCGAGGCCTCCGTGGAGCAGCAGTACAAGAAGGCCAAGCTGCGCCTTGACAAGATCCAGAAGTATGAGACAGATCTGGTGAGCCGTTCCAAACAGTACGAAGTAAAAAGGGAGCTTGCCTTTTGATTAGTGGCCCCTTGCAGACGGCAGCAATAGCGGCCTGTAGAGAACCGCCACATTAAAAAAGTTTTACTGATCTTAGAAAAGGGTCAGTGATGTGCGCTACCCAGATGATTCGTTTGCTCTGGAAGTTATTTCTAGAAAAAAAAGTGTGGAAAAAGAATCTTCCAATATTTCAGTGTTTGCCATTTGTATGGTTGTCTGCACGGGAAACACAATCTGACCCCATTGAACAGTGGTTCTCAACCATCGATGTTTCGCAGACCCCTTGTGGATCGGCTGAGATGATGGAGGACCCCGTTCGTGGTGAGGGAAGGCGAAAGGTATAAGTTAAATATAATAATGATTGAATAAATGGATATAACTCAGGGCTAGTGTGAAGTAGACCCCTTTTACTGACATACACACGAGAAAACTCGCCAAAAACTGAAACATTTCTTCTGGACTTGAGAAAAGACAACTTTTATTGCTGGGCTTGAGTGATGAGGCAGGGCTTCGCGGACCCCAAGGATGCCTTCGTGGACCCCAAAAGGTCCGCAGATCCCTATTTCAGAACCACTGCCATAGAACATGGATGTTCATACTAAACACATAAGACAGCAGTTTTCTCCATACCCCCTTTGTCTATTCACAAAGATTTCCCAGCTTTAGCACAGTCAATGTATTACCAAACCATGCATTGATGTGTTGCCATGAGCAGAATAGTCTTAGCTTTGTCCCTTCATGCGTGTACCGTAATGTCCCGAGACATGCCCCACCCCCCGAAAGATAACCTACCCCTATTTTAATGCAAAGGAATTAACTGTCTCATGGAGCGAGCCGACGTCATCAGTTTTGAAATCATGCGAAACGGCAGCTTAATGAAACTACGCGCAAAGCTAGGCAATGGCACCTTTTACACTTCGGTCCCATTGGCTGGCACGCGTCAACGAGGCTCCCATTCGCCACTGCGCTTCAGTTTGTGTGGTGTCATCCTGACTGTGTTATTACACTGTTGTGTTATCACTGATCAGCGCGTTTGCTTGCTTCTTAACCGCTGTACGATGCGTGGCAATATATACGGCGCATAACATAAACTAAGGGGTTCGTTCTGCTGGGAACTACATTGCTGTCTGTTCCTTCCTCGCTCCGCAAGGCACACGACAGTTTGAATGATCGCTCACCTGGTGGTGCTGCGTGTCCGCGAGGCAGCAGCTCCACCGTTCTATGCCCAAGGTCAGCGCGTTGTATGCCGCAGATTAAAGAAGCGAGCGAAGAGCAGCGTGTGTACTTTCGCATTCACAACTCATAAGAAGTGCTTAGGTGTACCTCGGGCCTTTTTGGAATGATTGGCTATTTTTTTTTTTTTCAAAAACACCGAAAGGTAGCTAACATCTAGTAATTGCAAGGGCTTGGCCATTGGGGACTTAGGCAGAAATGGTATTACTTAGCCACGGTGGGAGATAAGCGAACAATGCTTTCTGTGAAGGGCTGTCAATTTGATTCATTGCCCCTCCCCACGATCACAAGTTTTGCAGCTCACAAAATCTAAAACTAGCATCTTTTCAACTTTTTATTTATTGCGCACCGAAAGTTAGCCTACCCCTTATTCTCACCCAATTTGCCTTCAACTTCAGGTGGGCTATCTCTCAAGATATTACGGTAGTGTTGTTCACAAAGTTTGTTTGTCTCTTCGGAAGCTTTTTCATTGCAAGAATGCAACCAGAAGTTTTCGTAACATCTTTGATAGGGCTGATACCACATGCCACGCCAAAAAGCTGCAAAACCAATTACAGCGGAGCTGTTAAGGGCTAGGTTCCCCAGGATCGTGTCCGGTATGTCAACACAAACCTACCTGGACAACTACCGCCATCTATAAGTGACGGCGGCAAGCACACAACCAGTATGGTTTCCGCCGTCGCTCATAGATGCTGCCAACCTTTCCAGCTATCATAGAAGAATTGATAGTTGGGCGCATTGGTGGGAATTCATCGTAGGAAACAGCGCGAAAAACAGACGACGATGAAGAAGAAGCACTCGTAATGAGCGCAGTGCTCGTCACGCTTGTTTCTCCTTCGTCTGTTTTGCACGCTGTTTCCTACGCTCCTACGCTCTTATCAGTTTCAGTCTGGACTCACGGTGGGTCGGCCGCGCGCCCTTTCGGGAAAAGGAGACAGGCTGTGGAAGGAGCGGCGACATACGCTGCAGCGCGAATGGGTCTGCAAAGCTGATGTCGCCTCAACTTCCACTGCGTCCAGATGCTTCCGATTCCCTTGCCAAAGAGCACATCGCTCGCCTGGAAAGCCGCCGCTGAGAACAGAACCAGCGATGTAAAGGGCGCCGGCGGGCCAACGCCACGGACGACAATCGTGCCACGGGGGCGAAGCACAAGCGTGAGGCCCAGCGACGACAGCACTCCACGCCGGCTGAACAGTTCCCGGGTGCGACGGGGAAATTCCGGAGGGAGTTTGTGGAGAACCCGTTTGGCGTCACGTGCGCTGTGTATGACCGACTCTGGTTCGCCGGGGACTTATCCACAATCGGCGGCGTGTCGGACGAGAAGAAGCGAGAATCGGGCGCGTGCGCATTGCGGCAGTGTATCGAGTACAGCTCCGCTGGTCTTCCTTCTTCACAACAGTGGAAAGGCTGAATGTTTTTTTTATAAACAGTCTCTTCACCATTCTCCTTTGGACATTGGAAAGGCTGAGACTTGAGGAAGTACCCACTCGAGACGAAGAGATAGAGAAAAAAAAAACAAAAAAACGTGTAGTGGGCAACTTTTACAGGGTGGGTGTTAGGTTGGGGTGTTGTGGTAGATGAATAAACCTTCTGAAAGCCTTTGTAAGCATGTCTGAGGCTCTTTGTTGAAGTGTGGCTCATGCTTCCAGCTGGTTGGTGAGGGTACCCCGGCGCTGTCTACCTACCTGAGCTACCTGGACTTTGAGGAGGCCCAGGGAGACCCCACCCGCGTCCAGAGCCTTTACGAGCGTGCCATCTCGGACCACTGCCTGGTGCCGGAGCTCTGGGAGCGCTACATGGCGTACCTGGTGGGTGTTGGGGCTGTCCTTGCCCGCACGGAGCGGGGACATTCGGCGGTCTGTTTGCAGCGGGCTTCGAGCACTGAGTGCAGAAAGAAACTTCCATGCTACTCCAGTCAAATACAGTAGAATTTCTCTATAATCAACACTATTGCAGTAAAGATATAAATATGGATATCTGAAGCACAGTGGGTATACTTGTAACACTAATGCAGCCATTTGAGGTACTGGTAGTATGAGGAAAATACTGATGAAGGGAAGATTCTTTTTTTCCTTCATCGGCTTCAAGGCTGCATCATTCCTAGATATTCAGAAACTGTAGTAGGTGATGTGCCCACTTAGAAAACATAATTTGATCAGATAAGGAAAGTGAGATTACGGTATATTCTCGTCTGTGTATTGTTTCGGATTTCCATAGCCGAATAAACCCGGGCAGTTATGTGGGTGTGCCCGTCATTAGACCTCGAACACATGAGGTGTTTCTTAGGGCTGGCCAGTTTGCAGCGTTATTTTGGGTCCTAGGTTGCGATTAACTTCATGTGAACTGAAGTTGTCAGCCAGAGCTGTCATGCAAAATCATTTTATGAAAGGTATGTAGCTGTTCCAGAAGCTAAAGGAAATCTGAAGAGGCATACTGTCATTTGTGGCACATTGATGGCTACACACTGCCATAGATAAGTCATTGCCTATATGGCTTCCTAGTACCACACAGCAAACTGACTATCAGACTGTACTACAAGGTGTGGCCCCTCTATGGTTTGTTTTACTTCATGTTGCCATTCCTCTAGCAGATGCTTTCGGGTTTGCCATAGAGGCCTGAAACCAAACTTTGAACCGTGATATTTAAAAAAACTACACACATTATTAAAAAAAAGAAAATTGTGCCTCATAATTTGGGGACACTGAGTGGGCTGAAACCAGTCGTAATACCAAATTGCAAAATATTGACCGGAGTTGCCCTGTAAAGTGAATTAGAGTATAGCCATTGTTTTCTTCGCTTAGTGCTGTTTAAATTAAACGACCCCCGAATTTGTGGCTCTTATAGTCCCTGGCAGAGTGAGAAGGGCAGGGTGTGCCTTTCAACTGCCCAGCCTCCAGCATATTCTCCCTGCCTTCTCCTTGTTTGGCTGCGCATTGTCAAAGGTAGGGAGCTTGCACTGGAGGCGGTACAACCGAAGCTCCTCCCTGTCGTTCTCACCCTGTAGGTGACCGTGGTTCTCACCTCGCGCTATTCGGCATCGGCGTTCTCCCATCTTTGACGGCTGTCTCCTTTGTCCGTCTTCCGCTTCAGGACACCAAGCTGAAGGTGGACGCGGTGTCTCTCCCGTGCCACGAGCGCTCTGTCCGCAACTGTCCCTGGTCCTCCTCCCTGTGGGTCTCCCACCTGAAGGCCCTGGAGAGGAGTCACAGCCCTCACCAGAAGCTCACCGGTGAGAGGACATGCGCTGCCGCGGTGGTCGAGTGCACCTCATAGTCATTGGGTGATCATGATTGTGCAGGATTTGCAGAGGGGGCCGTTCTGCAGATTCGACGCGTTAACGCACCGCGGCTCAGAGCACATGAAGCGAAAATTTGCACTACAGAGCCCAGGGATCATGGGTTCAATCCTTGCCCCCTGCCCATTTCGATCCAGAGGAGCATTGGACCGGCGTGCAGTCGTGCATCACTACTGTGTGGCGCATGTTAAAGACCCCGGGCTAGTGGTCATACTGCACTCGCTAAATTTCTCATCTATAATGTAAACCAGCATCGCCATACCTCAAAGGCGGACAGACCTTAAAGGGATGCTGAACCGAAATTTGAATTTCCCAGAACACGCAGAAAAAGCGTGCAACGGGATGCTGCAAAAACAAAAACATCACTCATACAGCAATATCTCGAACGGATGACCGCATTTTTCAAAAAAGGAGACGCATTTGGCCGGAATGTTGACGTTATGTTTCTCCGAGAAGGAGAGGGAACGGCCTCGCGTTTTCTCCGCCTCGCGGCCTTGAGGGAGTGAAGCAAAGAGAGGAGGAAACACGGTATATTGACGTCACGCGCCTCGTCGGCCTGGTTCAATCTCGACCTCTTTTTCCAAAAATACGGCCGTCCATTCGAGATATCGCCTTGCAAGTAGTATTGTAGGGATTGTAGCGTCCCGCCCACATCTCCTGCATTGTTTTTTTGAAATCCAAATTTCGGTTCACCATCCCTTTAAGCTGTCTAAACACAAACATTTTTTTAAACATTTTTTTAGATTTTTGGTTATGGGTTTGCCATGCTGTCTGAAATCTTGTTTTTTGACTGTGGTTCTCAAATAGGGTGACCCAGGAGCTGTAGTGTCCCACAAAAAGGTGACTAAATTGCCTTAAAGGGCTGAGTGCATGCTCACCTAAAATCAGAAGCTGTCAAAATTTTGGGGATTTGTAGTATTAGGCTCTTCTTTGAGTTAGCTTATTGATAATTTTGGGGTAACTTTCTTTTTAGTGCATGGTTTTCCATTTCCAGTGCAAACATTTCCTCCCATACCATGCTGTGCTTAGTGTATAAACTGTACTTCCACTCTGAATTTAAAAACACCCTTCTGAATTTTTTTGAAAAATAAACTGAAAATTTTAGCCTTACACTTGTGTGCAGTGTTTAATTCGGTGAAAATAAAGAGAGGGCAGTTCTACTGGCATGAACACAAATTCAGTATTTGATGCCACACCTTGTTTGCAATGCAGTGTAAAAGTAATTTAGGAACAGAATAGCCCATTTCACATGCTTCTATTCTGCTTGTAGATTTCAATTGCTAGTGTTGTTCGTGCAACCATAAAAAAAGCATGGACGGTAGCTGAAATGCGTGCCGTGTCTACGGAATTTTTATTGTACGAAACCAAAAATTGCCATGTAAAATGCCTCGACGAGTATGTATAATTGAAAATATGCTGGTCGAATGCAACCCTATAATTTAAATGCACTGGGTCTACACTTAATGCAGAGGCCATGGAGCAGGCTCTGGGGGCAGGCTTTGGTCAGGGCCAGGACTACCAGAAGCTCTGGCTCACTTACCTGGACTACCTTCGACGGAGGGTGGACTGGTCACAGGGTGAGCGCAGGACTCTTTTCCATCTCTGCTTCTTTGTCAAACTTTGTATGTGAGGTCTGTGATCAGCTCGTGCAAACCATTATACAGTCGAATCTCGTTAATTCAAACTCTCTTAATTCAAACTTGCAGATATAATTTGGACTAGCATGCAGGTCCCATCCTACGCGTCTCTAAGGGAGGAAACTCCCGTTAATTCAAACTTTGCTTTACTCAAACAAATTTTCGGTCCCCCTCGAGTTAGAATTAAAGGGACACTGACACCCCCCAAAAAAATGTTTTTATTTTTTGCCAGGCGCTTCATTATGGTGTCGGAGGACTACCCAATTAATATTTTGCAACAGAGTTGCGTATTTTTTTAATAAAGCCAAAAGACGCAACTGCTCGAAACCGAAACCGAAACCCGACGGAGGTCGGAGAAGTGGAGAGAAGAGAATGAGTGGCGGAAGTCACGTGGCTACACCCGACCGTGCGTTATTTATTATTTTTTTTTCTCCTCTCCGGTAGCAGACGACAGACGTGCGGGAACTGCTCGCCGTGCGATTTTTTTGCAGTTATGTTTGTTCCGCTCTTTGTTCTGTACTCCAAGATGAGTTGTTTTGTACATTGAGGAGTTGGAGATGAGTAGTGAGTGCCCGTGGTGAATTTCCATGATCGGCTCCGAAAAGAATACACCCAAGATGTTGCGTGAACAGCTGGCTCACATTTCCTGCATCCGAAAAGAAGTGACATTGTGCGACAGATTTTCCGAAAGATCAACGGGATCGGGACCAACGGCTAGCTGCAATTCCTGTAGAACATATACGGGCACCTCGGAAAGCGGACGTTACCTGATTTATATGCTCCTTGCATTTTGTGGAAAGTGATTACATTGAGCTCGCAGGTGTCAAAACGGAAATCCCATACCATTTAATTCAGCGAAGTAACGTCCACAACATTTGTTTGTTATTTTTTTTTGTTTTGTTTCTTCAGTGATGATTGTAAAAAAAAGAAAAAGATATGCAAACATCAAAAAATGTTAAAAAAAAAAAAAAAAAGTTTCACGGAGGATCGAATTCGGTCCTACTGCGTGTGAACCGGACGTCTTTCTCACTGAGCTACTGGGGCATTGCTTTTCTGGTGGATCTCTTTCCTTAGTAATAATTCAGCCGGTAAACTGTAAGTTGGAAAGTTTGCTGTCGATTTTTCTCTAGCAAAAGCACTCCCGGGTCGAAGTCGGGAAGCACCACGCTTTGGGGACATTCGCACCTAGTAAAGAAATCGTATGCATGCATATTGAACTCGAAGTAGACACGTCGTGCTTGACGTTTGCGGGAGCGATGTCTTCAGCCACGAGAAGGGAGCGACGGCTCGGCGACGTCTTCGTGCAAATCGGCTTGGTGGCCGGGCGTGTCGTACGGGATGAATACCAATTCTTTTGATCAGTTACAAATTTCTCTTTTAACGGTAGACAGAATTCGCCGGTACCGCGAACGACAGTCCTGAAATAGAGGTCCCACGCCCGTCGTCCGCTGCCATCGCCGGTCCCGCGAGTCCCACGATACGCGAAACGACGAACGCACAGAATGCTTCCGGTTGTCTGTGGAACTTTTTTTTTCAATCAACGTATTTACAGCTTTTTAGAAGCCACAAAAAATGGGTTTCATATTTTTTTCTATTTTTAATATTGAGTGTGTGCCTTCAGTGACCCACGACTTTGATTAAATTTGGTGGTCGCATCGATACCTTAGAAAACGGCCCGTGACCGCGAAAAAGAGAGTGAGCGAGACTCGAACCGGCCAGTTCTTGATCGGCGGTTTTCGGGCGGAAAGAAACCGTATTTCGAGCCACAAATTCTGTTCTGGGTAGTTGAGCTCTCATATGTCACGTACAACTAAAAACCTCAGCGAGCATAAATGCCCTGTCAGTGTCCCTTTAACGAGATTCGACTTAGTGTCTGCCTTAAAATCTGGATTTCATTGCAGCCCTAAAAAACATAGAATTCATCCTGCCACTGTAATAATTGCATAAGCAGTTTCACGCAACAGTGTCCTTGGTTGTTCAGCACCTCTCATTATAAAATATTTTAGACCAAGTTTCACTTATTTATGAAGGAGGAGACGAGTGATGACGAATATTTTCATTGCAGTGATGGAAGTGCTGCGCCAATTGTGCCAAACTGCGCCAAGGATGCAATCCTGCTACATGTAGTGCAATATTGTCATTTTACCGAAGAATTGCGCCATGCCTGCACCGAGATGAGATGTAGCAAAAAAAAATAAAAATTGAAGTCTTATCAGACCGCATGGCGGTACCGCGGTATTAGGGAGTTTTCATAGATCGTTTTCGCTGTCCCACAAGGCCCTCCGCAACCCGCTACGATAGCAAGAACTCCACAGTGAAGGCTATCGGCACGCAGGCGCAGTAGCAACTTCTTCGTTGCAGAACGCTTAGCGGAGGGGGCAGCGCGCTCTACGAACACTCCCTATTTTCCGCGCCGCAACTGTTACGCAAACCGAAACTGCGAGGGCGCATTATCATCATCATCATCATTGAAAGGAACAACGTTAGTAACATCTGAGACCAAAGCCGCAGAGGCTAAGTGAAGAACCATCCCACTAAACAACCTATTTAAAAAAAAAAAAAAAAAAAAGGTTGAGCTTGTGGATGTTTTTAATGTTGGCCCGCCCTGTTCCCGTGCGCTAGCTACCAGCAAAGTCAAAGCTAGCGCGAGCCCAATGCTCTGTGCATTCCTGACTCGCGCGTGGGCTCGTGCAGTGTGGGCACTGTTACGGGCTCCATGCGCGCGCTTGTAGCTTCGGCTGCGCTCGCACCGAAGCTGAAATGAAGTACAGTTGAGTTGCACTAAACTGTGAATGTAGTGCTGCTAAAGCCTCACCGTCCTTTTGGGAGCACAAAGCACTGCGCGACTCGCGCGACTGCGGTGCCTGCTCCGCGGGTGTCGCTTCTCTGCAGCGCGTCGGTGCATGCCAAGGAGCGCACTCAACGGGTTAACTCGCCATGATCCGATCGTGACTTCGCCAGCACATCGAAAATGAATCGGAATTTTTGAAGTGAATATCAGACACCGCAATATTTGGATCTGCTGCCCGAAAGACAACTCTAATCTGAACTAAAACATTCCACAACAGTGAGGGTCGTTAGATGCTGCTGCAGATACCTTAATTGAAGTGCAGGCTGATAAAACTAAATATCCTGTACCATGAGAACTCAGTGTGACATATTTAATTGTATTTTTTTTATCTGACAAACAGATAAACTTTATTTAAAAAAAAAAAAAATTTGTGTTTACTTTGTTGAATTTTATATATCCTGTCTTAAAAAGGCGACAGGCGCTGTGTTCCAATAATAGAGATGGGCTTTATATAGCAATGCGGCATTATTTAATTTTCAAGTAATATGCCAACATATACCGGATCGTGCTCCAAAAGGGCCACTACTTGCTCCAAAACAACATTTTGCCTGCTACAAGGCCTGCCCCAAAAGGTCAAATGGCACTTCCATCACTGTCATTGTGACCTGTGACCTTGTAGGTGTCTCTCAGGCTTGCATCGTTGCATGTGATGTTACAATAGCTTGTTTAGGACAGTTTTATCTTTTAACATTATGCTTATCTTTTTCCACGATGTGTAGGAGAACGAAAAGATAGCTAAACAATGCTGCTAACAGGAATTTACCCTTCGCTATACTACTTTCAGGAGATTCTTCGGAGGCTCTGCGAGACCTGCGAAGAGCATTTGAAAAGGCTGTAGAACACCTGGTACAATGTGAGCATTACTTGCCTTGCAGTTGTCTATCTATAAACACAGGCCAATCTGATGAAGTGCTGATTTTTTAGTTAATGAAAAAAGAAATGGGGAGTAGGGTTGGGGCCTAGACAGAGCCAGAGGTTTATTCAGGATATCAGCTTGGTGGGGAGGGGTTACAAACATTAAGGGGTGCTATGCTTTGCTTTTTGTTTTGCTTTTTTTTAGGGGAGGGAGGGAGGCAGGGCCAGAAGGGGTAGTATTATTCTATTGTACTATAGTGGGTGTCACCTGTATGATAGTTTACCATATTAAAAGTTACTGAATCGATGCGAACGGGAGTCTCTCATGGAAACGAAAGAGCAGACCTGTTCCAGCTCGTATTATTTTTGTCACAACTCTGGAAGTTAAAAACCTTGTTCACTCAGCTCTTTTAAAGTCTAAGTATAAAGTTTGTTGCTCTTAACAAAATGAAAAAAAAAAAAAAAAAGGCTTGGGTTATTGCATTTTTCAGTATATAGTCTACACCGAATGTATAGTCTACAGAGCCCAAAAAAAAAGTTTTTTTCGTAGATAGTTTGCACCCGGTGCATAGTGCGCATGTTGTATAGTCCGTACCTAGTGCTTAGTCGACACAAAAATCTTCTCATACACGACACACCTTTACAAATGCCAAGGTGTGCTTTGTCATCTCACAAATAAGCTTGTATTATACATAAATCATCATTAACATACTCTTTCATTCACAAAATTCGTCATGTCTTCTCATAATGAATGATCTTGAAAAACTAAATTTCTGTGGAGTGCGCACAGACTAAAATTTCAGCTCTGAAACGTCTAGTCCAGAAAATACAGTACCTATATATTAAACCTTTTCAAGACGCAACCAAGGGATAATTTTGTCGCGACTATCTAAGCAGCAATAGTAAAATATAATTTTCTATCTAGGTAGTAACTGCAGTAGGCATTCTTTTACTGTGTCTAAAAGTGCAGTAAAGGTCCTAACTATTTTAGGGGGAACTGAATATTTCTAGGCAAACACTACGATAAATCCTCCAAAGATAGCGTCCTATAACCCACCTGCACAGAAATGCAGTTCAAATAATAATGATATTTTTTTTTATAACCTATACAATTAGATGCATTCAACTCTCATTGTTCACTGATATATTAGAAACACTTGTAACAGTAGCCATATTCAGCAGATTTGTTTAGTGATAGTAAACACATTTTTTAGCTCTATTTGTTTTCTAAATTGCATAGTATATGAAGCTTGTATTATTATAATTCTTTATTTTCTTTGGGCTCCAGAACAACCTCGCAGTTTTGATGTGGTAGCACAAGATATAAAATTTAAGAGATACAATTCATGCACTTTCACAGATGATAGGAAATTAAAAAGGTCAAACTCATCACAGGAAAGTCATAAATAAATTGCATAAAGCGATCATACTAGAAAAAGTTCACGCTTAGAAAATTAAAGACAAAAAGAATTCATGAGGAAATTTTCCCCAACATAAAATTCCACAAAAGTTCTGTGTGTATAAAATGGCATCCGCTATGCACTCTGTACTTAGGTTTTAAAGGCATACAAATTGATCTCAAGTAAACAAGTGAAACCATATTTTTGCATTTAGAGCATATATTAGTCAGTTTTCTGGAAAACTATATATAATTATGAATAAAAACTCAGTATGCAGGAACTTGACTTTTTTGATCCTATACAGTGTAGACCGCATATAACGTATGTCGCGGGAGTCGCGAAAATCCGCACTATAAGCGGTACCGCGTTATAACCAAAACATCAATTTTTCAGGCCAAAATACATGCCATGAGACAACTTACCTTTGTAAAAGAATTTATTTTATGTTAGATGAAAAATAAAGCTTAGTTTGAGGAAAGTCTTTATTTCACCAGACTAGTACAGTTCTGTCTCAAGTGTGTCACACATTTTGAAAGAAATTAGCGGCTTTTGCCTGGCGCAGCCTTTTGACCCGCGGACGTCCGTCCGCGGGTTGCGGACGGACGTTGCGAGCGTTCAGGATTGCTAACCCTAATCAATTTTCTCCGGAGATGAAAACGCGTGAAAAATCGCATCCTTCATACGGTACGCGCCAGTAATACCTTGAACTTCAGCACACGCATGAAATGCGCCAAATAAGAAATCCGGGCGATGTACTGTAGTCGAAGTAAACAAACACGACGACACGGGCGTTTCTGCCGTCTTGAGAGCGCCGCCACGACATCGCCGCACGAGTAGGTGAATCTTCCCTTCTAGTACATGCTGGGTTATCATAGCGACACACAACGAAAATTCACAGTTAGGGAGTTTTCGTAGACCGCGCTGCCCCCTCCGCTAAGCCCTCCGCAACGAAGCAGCCGCTACTGCGCCGGCGCGCCGGTGGCCTTGACTGTAGAGTTCCGGCTAGCGTAGCTGGTTGCGGAGGGCGTTGCGGGACAGCGGAAACGATCTACGAAAACTCCCTAAGAGGATAGCGCTTTTACGCAGAACGATGAGATGAACTCCGTCTACGACGACGATCACAACCGACACCATGTTTGCGGAGAAGCAGCCGGCCCGCGGCCGGCACGCAACGCGCGCGAACACTTCTCCTCGATCTGCGATTGGTCTGTCGGTGCGGTTGTTTGTTACGCAGCGGAGGTAGCGGAGGGACGCACGCACGTGAACGACACGTGCGTGCGTCCCTCTGTCGCTACGGCGACTGAAGCCTCTCTCTTCGCTTCTCCCCACTTCTTCGAGCAACGTCCTCGCCCCGCGCCGTCAGCGCCGTTATCTAGTGTCGCACAGGGAAGCGTGCCCGCTGCTCCGGTCGTCGGCGCGGTCGGCGGGCTGTGCCAAAAACCGCACTATAGCCGGTATTTCCCTCCGCGCGCCTGCATTTTAAGCGGTATGTAAATACATGGAGTTCTATGGGAGGCGAACCGGTGGTTTAAAAAAACCGCGTTATACACGGTCCTGCACTATAAGCGGTTACGTTGTAAGTGGTCTATACTGTATATGTTCTGAACTTTAGAATTTCTTCCAAAATGGCTGTGCACTTTTAACACAGCCTCATATTAATATTCCTGGCATTGAAAATAATAATTGAAGATGCATTACTCACTTTTCAAAACAATATTTGATTATCTTTTCTAGAACATTTTTAGAAAGTCTGGAAGATTACAACACGAGATCATCACTGATGTTTTATCTTCAATGTTTACATAAGTCGACTGTCACAAAGCAGCATGGTCCGGCGCCTGGCAAAAGAAGCGGAGTATGTGCAACGGATCTCGTAGAGAGCCAAGTGGCAGAGCGGATAACGAAGTTCCAGAAAATTTGTGGAGGAGGGGGGAGGGGGGGATGTCAGCATTTTTTTGGGATGGTGTGAATAAATCCCTGTTCAGAACAGAAGGGAAAAGAGGGGAGAGAAGAAACATAATTTAAAGTAAGGTAACAAGTATGCATTGGTCCAGTACACTTCGAGTAGAAAGCTTGATGCATAATGCAATGCAGTTTGAACTGGCCTTTTTGATGGCTAACTCCTCACCTGTTGGCTTATGCCACTGTTTTCCAGACCAGGAAGAGACTGACCTTTGTTCACCCATTCTCAAGTACTGGGCCAAGGTTGAGGTGCGTATGATCAGTGTGCATTATGCACTAATAATCAAAATACATGCCCTTGATTTTTTTTCTGATATTTTTTTTACATATTTGCTGGTTTACACGTTGACCTTTTCTTTCTTTGTAACAAAATTAATATGATTTTACACTTCTACTGGTGCTAGACTTCGAGGAATACTGTGAATGCATGTCCTCCTGGCTACGTGAAGTGTGTATTTTAGACACAGGAACAATTTCCAAAGCCCTGCTCTAGAATTAGTTTTGTTGCAGTACATTTGGGTCTTTCAGCAACTTTATTCTTTTGTGGATGTTTTTTCTTTTTACTTTCTGATTAATTTAATATTGTTAGATAAGAGGCACTGGTCCATTTTAGTCCTGGCCTAAATTGTGGGCATCACCAGCATACTATTTGAGCTGAAGAATTGACTTTATGAAAACACTACAAAAGATGTTTGCACTGTACATAAGATGACATGAGGTAGCTCTGTGAAGCAAAATAATTTGGGTGATTGTTGCATTTGTGTGTGCAGGCTAAGTTTTGTGACAACCTTCCCAAGGCCAGGGAGCTGTGGAACGAGGTCACTCATCAGGGAAGGGCTACCGATGCCCAGACATGGCTGGACTTTGCAAACTTCGAGAGGTAAAGGGACATTTTTCTAAGTTTTCTACAATCATGCTTTTTTTTTTTCAGCCTTTGATTGTTATTAAAATTTTTCTCTACATGTTCATTCATTTATTCACTCATTTATCAACCCCTCAAATGCATTTACAGCAGGCTTTACGTAAACAGTGCTGCACAACCCTTTTGCTTTGTAAGATGCTTTTGCTTTGTAAGATGCTTTCTTATACAATAGCAGAAAAACAGTGGCTTAATGAGAACAAACTAACCGTACAGAGTAAGCAGTAGCAGAAATCGCTTTATTAAAATAACCAATACCTGAAATATCCACTTCTTTTGAATTGGCCAGTTTGTTCCAGTTAAAACAGACTACCATATAAGGAGTTATTAAAAAATATTGGTTCTGTAAAATTTCTTAGTTGTGAGTACTCTTTTTTCTTAATTGTTGTGAGTACTGTCGAGACCGGTTATAGTGAAGTCAACGGGAATCAGAAATCACTTCGCTATATCTGCTATTTTGTTATAGTAACTGACTTTGGTTATAACGAAGTGCAAAGGGGAATGGGAAATCGTTATTGCTTCGCTGTAGCCGCTAGTTCGTTATAACCTCCTTCGTTATAACCATTCTCGACAGTGCTCGTTTTTCTTAATTTGAGGGCATACAAAGCTTTTGGCACCACGCCGCTTGAGAGCCAATGGGAGCCTCATTCCTTGATGATGTGCGCCAGCCAATGAGAGTATAATTCATCACTTCGCTCCTTTGGGACAGGAGAATTTAGGTGCCGTTTGGCGCGGCTGATGAGGTCGGCTCACTCCATGGGACAGTTAATGCTTTTGCATTCAAAAGTGGCATTCTAACTCTTTATTTTGTGAGGACGTTTACACAATCGGAGTATCCTGGTGTGCACGGAAAGAAAATCCTTTTGCCATTTTAGCTGATTGCAAAGCCCTTTTGCCTGGGCTTAGATCCACGATCTGTAGTATGGCAATCGTATCCTTGAAAGGAATGTGATTTTGCTCCCGTGAAGCTAGACTCTAAACAAAACCAGCGGGACCGTACAGAGACGAAAAAAAGCCGCGCAGAGCAGCCGAGCCGCAGCGAGGATTATTGGTTGCATGCGGACGCTGCCTCCTATCCAGCCGCAAATGCTCCATGATCGCAGGCAGAAGTTTGATAAGTGCAAAAATCTGTACTTTGCACCAAAGAATCCTTTCCAACTTGTCAAAGAACAACAATGACTGTTGCCATTTCCTGCACGAACCAGATTAGCATGCAAGGGTCATACGAAAAAGAGAGTTAAGCAACAAAACAGGACAAGTGGTGGTTAGGAAGTTAGTTGATGTGGTTTCTGAAAATTCGCAATCGGAGAGCACTTACTTAGCTAGGAGAGAAAAAACAACTTCGAGTGGAGACCTGGAGACTGCTCCCAACAGCGTGTCATGACCTTTACTCTTCAGTTTTGCTCTTTTTTTTTTCTTTGTTTTTTGTGTGTTTCTCTGCACTCTCTGAAGTCACTCTTTTTGTTTGCTGTTTGGGATGCTTTAACTTTACGGGGTTTTTTTCTCTTTTAAAGGAGACAGGGGCACTCGCATATTTTTCATTTTCCTTTTATATGGTATCGGTGTTTTGCGTGTTTCCGATGTCCTTGTTTTTCTCAGTTTGATAAAGGCAGTGGGTTGTTTGATATAAAGGTATTTTTTTACAACAAGCAATTTCATTCTAAATATTTGGGTGTTCGATATAGCCAATAATTCACCGTATTCGGGTTCGTTAGAAAAGGGTTTGACTGTATCTCGAGCATTCCGAAAGCGACGAAAGTGAAGCTAGCAGGACTGACATGTGTGCAGGGCGTTTGGCGACGACAAGCACTTGAGGAAGACGCTGATGCGGGGAATGTATGCTGCTGTGGATTGGCCAGAGACCCTGGGGGACATGCTTCTCAACTTTGAGAGGGAGGAGGGTGCGCACTTTCTTTGCTCCTATGCGCTTTCTCCCCCTTTCTCACTGAAAGGGGTACTTGGGTACTTTGGCAATTTTTTTAGCTACCCCAAATTACTATATTTTCGAAATCATTGGCCTTTTTACTCTTTCCGGACAGAGAGAGTAAAGGCCGATGTAAAGAGTAAAGAATAGTTATTGTGAAATCGGCAAATGAAAATTATGCCAAAACCAACATTCAAATAAACCCATTTTCAGTGGCATGACGACAGCGGAAGGCAGGCTTGCAAGCCCAGTGGGCAGTCTAAAAATAAACTATGCCAAGCATTTGCTTCGTACTACTGCACAAGTGCTGGACTGAATGGACTGAAGCGAGCTTTCATAGCATTCATTTGACTCCATGAAACTGCTTGCAATTATTTGGGAACAAAGTCTACAGTCCAAAAAGTGAACCCTGCCTTCCCCTGGCGTAAGTTTTTCTTTGCTGCTAGTGGAGGAGACTTTTACTTTGAGAAGCACGGTGAGGACCAAAATTGTAAATTTTATAACTTAGTGGAAAACAATTATTTTGGCAAAATATTTGGGTTCCTATTTCAAAAATGTTTGTTTGTGTGTTCAACAAATTTTCAGTCAAATCGGGAAATACGGTAATTCCTCGTTATAAGAAAATCGCTTTTTTCTAATTATCGCTTTTATCGAAGTTCAACGTTGTCCCGACCGAAATGCACACATTTTTAACCGGAATATTTTAAGTGTATCGGCAGCCGACCACACTTATTACGAAGGCCGCAGTGCCAAAAGCATGCAAGCCTACATAGAGGCTCACAGAGCCACTTGCGTTTCCCCCTCTTCTCCACCGAGGCAAACAGCAAACTGGGAAAACAAAGTAAAAATGTGACAAAGGGCAGAGCACGCAAAGCTGGCAAGAGCACCGCTTCCGATGCTGATGCGCCGACGCAAGGACGCGGGCAGGGAGCAGCGTTATTGTTGCAACGCTACTCACGGTGCTCGCAACAAATCTGCTCAACTCCTGTCAAAATCAGGTCAAGAGAGTGATAGAGCCTGGAGGAGATGATTCCTTCGGTATCATCTCCTCCAGACTTTATCACTGCAGGCTCTATCGTGACAGTGTTCTTGTGATCCCTGGAACAGTTCGAGGAGAACAGATGCCCGTATAGAATAATTGGCAAACTCCATTTAATTATTTTTTTACTCAGTAAAGCTGCCGTGAGATGTTCATAACCAAGGTTTGTCTGATTAAATATATGGTCAGAGTGTTCCGGCAGTGTTCCCGTCCACCTTCAAGGCTGCTGGCACTGTTTCTTGGCTCTATCGCTTCTTTGGAATTGCTGTTTATATAAAAAAATTTTGCTGTCTTGTTGACTTCGTTATAACGAGGGGTTACTGTATAAAGAAAACGCCGGAGTACCGGTCTTTCTTTGGGTAAGCGGTGACGTGGTCTACAGCCCCTTGCGTTTTCTGTCTTGGATTGTGTTAGAGGGCCTGTAATGTTCAAAATGGCAAAGCCTTGTGAAATTGTCATGACAAGCAAGTTGAAGCTGTGCATGAGTATGTTCATCACACTTGTTGCTTCATGACAGCACTCACGCATTCTGACCAACTGTGCTGCACACTGTACATTTATATAGCTGTAGCAACATTCTTGCTATTGTTGTAAATCCTGTACAATAATTAAAAACATTTTATTTTTGCCTGGTTTTCCACATTGCAGGCACATTGGAAACTTTGGATGTGGCCACAGAGAAGTATGATGCCCACATTCGGAGGGTCTTAGAAAAGAGAGAGAAAGTAAGTTTGTGTTTCTGCGCATTTTATGTGGGACGACAGAAAAGATTGGTGATCGTTGTGACAAAGCTTTCCTCTGCGATGTCAGTACTTCTAATTCATCATTAATGGACTGCTTTGTGTGCCGATAACCTGATTGACAGTTTGGCAAAGAGTTAAACACCAGTTTAAATTCATGGTTTCAGTTTAGCCTGTGAATTTTATAGTACCTAACTGAGGTAGACTGTTGAGGAAACACAGACTATAATATGAAATGCTGGCAGAATGGAACTTTAGCTGGTAGGAATGGGGGCAAGTAGAAATGACTATGCTTGCATACAGTGGCTGTAATGCATATACTGGGTGATGTGGGATGCACCACTGGTTAGTTTCACATCTGTTTTGTTTTGTCACTTCGATGCTATGCACTTCTGCGTACAGTCATCAGAAACTTAAAACTGGATATGCTAGTGGCAGCTGAGCAGTGCATATGGAAGATGCAGCCAGTTTCAGAGCAGGAGTTGTCATCTCTTCGAGTATCGGCACGAGGTAAAAGTGCTGTGTTTGGCGCCAAATAAGGCCTATTCGTTGTGCCGCAAGGTCAATCAGGGCCAAACCAGCAACATCAAGGGGTGTGGTACCACTCACAGGACCGTTCATGCCCAAAGCGACAAGGAGGTTATATACCACATACCCCTGACATGCGGCCGCTGTTACATTGGACAAACCGGGCAGTGTATAAACGATAGGACTTGGGAACATGTCAATAGTTTAAAGAATTTGATGGCAGCAGGTCACTTAGCCGTACATTGCCGTGACTGCAAGTGCAAGGCAAACTTAGACAAAGTTAACATCATGGGGCACCATCGAAACCGGTTTGCAAGTGAGGTGTTAGAAGCTTTAAACATCGAAGAGAAAGGGGATATGTGTGTTAGTTCACCGCCTGTGACTTTAACCAGAGAGGAGAGTATGTTCTTGCAAGGTGGAGGTACCGCCCCCAAGTAGACAGACCAGCAGGACGCCCTAGTTTAAAAATGAGGAAAAAAAAAGTGAAAGCCCTTTACAACTCCCGGTAACGCCGAATCGGAGTGCAGCTCTTGAGGAGGAGGAGGGAAGGGTACTCAGGGGAGGGTAGACACCTCCTTCTCCTCCTCCCCTCATTCTTTAATATGCTCCGGGAGGGTCACCTGACCTCGGTGGGTTGGAGGGGGGGTCACGTGACCTCGGGGAGGGGGTCACGTGACCTTGGGAGGTCATGTGGGGGTCGCGTGACCTTGGGGTGACCTTGGAAGGGGTCACGTGACCTTGGGGTGACCTTGGTTACGGCGATGGCGACGTTGCTCAAGCCGGAAACGGGCGCCTAAGAGCTGCGCTCTAAAAGTGAAAGCCGTTTACAACTCCCTGTAAGACCGAATTAGAGCGCAGCTCTTGAGGATGAGGAGGGAAGGGTACTGGGGGGGGGGGGGGGGGGGGGGGGTGAAGTGACCTGGGGGGGTCACATGACGATGCCGATGACGTCATCAGTGACATCACTGATGACGTCATCAGTGACGATGACGATGCGGACTTCGATGACGTCATCAGCGATGATGACGGTGCAGATGTCGGTGACGTCTTCAGTGACGTCAGTGATGACGTCATCCGTGATGATGACGATGCGGATGCCGGTGACGTCATCAGTGACTTCACTGATGACGTCATCAGTGATGATGACGATGCGGATGCCGGTGAGGTCATCAGTGACGTCACTGATGACGTCATCAGGGATGATGACGTTGCGCAACGTCATCATCAGGGATGATGACGTTGCGGATGCCGGTGACGTCATCAGTGACAATGACGTCATCGGGCAGGTCACGTGACTTCGGCGGGGGGGGGTCACGTGACCCTGGGGGGTGGTCACGTGACTTTGGGGGGGGGTCACGTGACTTTTGGGTGTCACGTGACCCTGGGGGAGGGGTCATGTGACCTTGGGGTGACCTTGGTTATACCGACGCCGCTCAAGTCGGGAACGGGCCCCTAAGAGCTGCGCTCTAAAAAAGAAGTGAGGCGAGCTAGGTTTTGATTGATCCTAGCCTGTCGATGAAGATGAAGTGTTTCATTAAATGCAGTTGGTAGTCCAGCGGTTGAATGCGTCTTACTCGTTCTCCTTACATTTGTATGGTTGGTTTGTTTAGCTGGTGCCTCCTAAATGCTAGTAATTCTTGTCTAAGAGGGGACAGTTTCAACAAGAATGGTTTTAGCTGGAGCGAAAATTGAGAGATGTCGACGTCTTTCAGTTTGAACCCGTTTTGATTTCGAACACCAACAGACGTTTATTGGTGGTTTTCGGCTTTAACTGAATGTGTATTTTTAAGAACAATGGATCTTTATTGGTTTTTCTCGGTTTTATCCGATTTTGTGCTTCTGACACCGGTGCCTGTTTGTCTGTGTTTTTTGGTTAAAACGAGAAAGTCGACGAACTATATATATATATAATATTTTCTGCCACTTGAACTGCTCAGCCAAGCTTCCATGTGTGCTTTAGCAGACGACTTTACCAACTGCTTTGAAAGATTATGGTAGAATTCATGCATGCCAGTGTATAAGACAGACAGGCAAGCACGCGAGCATGTGCTCACTCAATATGCAAGTGGTCTGTCGCTTCCTCTTCCCAGGTGGCTCAGAAGGAGGCTCAGAAGGAGGCTGAGCAACAGGAGCAATTGAAGAGCACGCGGGCAGAAAAGAAGGCAGAGCGCAAAGCAGAGAAGAAGGCCGAGCGCAAGGCAGAAAAGCTGCGTCAGGACCAGAAGGCGCAAGAGGCGCACGAGGGAGATCAGGCGTCCCACAAGCCCAAGGTGTTCAAGAGGAAGGCACCCACAGCCCAGGTGAAGGGAGCACGCTTTGAATTTGGTGGCCGTATCGACGGCATTCGGTTTGCCCCAATTCAAGTTCATTATCTTTGTGCTGTTGAGCAGAACACACGTAAGGCATTTATTGCAAGACAGAGGCTGCAGAAGCATAGAAGTATTTGGCAATTCTCGGGAGCCCAAAAGACATTTGGGACATTGGGTAAAGAGTAACCAAATCGAGGAGACTTGTAAGAGTTAAATAACCTTCCAGCACGACCTCTTTGGACGTGACCCTTACAATGGGCCTGATCAATGCTGTTTTAAAGATTGTTTCTTTCGCAGTCACTTTTTTGTTACCCACTGTCTTCACATCTCTCACGGATGACTTTTTAGCATACCACACAGCGCTATTAGTACAGCACTTCATTCTTTATGCCTGCTAACTCAGTGTTGGCCACAATAGTTTCTATGAAAGAAAAATCCCTTGAGAAGCTTGAGAGCAGAAGCAGTTTCTTCACTGGGTTACCTAGCTTTTCTCAGCTTTCAATGTTTTACTTTTATCCAAAAGGGAGAAGAGCACAAGACAGACTCGGATGGATTCAAGGTCCCCACTTTGCCCAACTCAAACGATACGGAAGGAGGCACCGACGGACCACCTTCCAAGAAATCTAAGGGTACTGGAACCCAACTCTTTACTGTGCCGTCAGAGTTGTTTGTTATTAACGGTTGTTTTATTAAACAAGGATATTTTGGATGCTTGCTGAACTAGACTGTAGCTGTTAATATGTGCAGCAAGCAGAATGCTGTTGGTAACTTTTATGCTCAGTGGTAGAATCTGCTCCGGTAGTAAATTGCCGCGATTACAGACCTGTGAATGGTGCAGAAAACTCATGAAATTGAAACACTATACTGTGTGCCCTGGCTGGCATCTTAATTAAAACATTATGCACATTGCTATAAAAAAAAAAAAAAAAAGCAGAATCAATGAGCAGAATCTTGATGCAGGTGCAAAAAGCAGTCGTGCGAAGACACTTGGTGGATCTCTTTTATTAGTTACGCCGATTTTCAGTTACTTGCTTACTTGTAGGGTTGTGTTAACATTCAGAAGTTCCGTTAATTTGCTGGTAGTGTTTGCTACTCGATTCATTTTGCAGCACGCTTTTACTGATTGAGGTATTCGAGTTGTGCTAATATTCCAAAGGTATAAATAATTTTTCCAGAATTCTTCCATTTCTCAAGTGCAAGCTTACTTACCACTTGGCATCAGTGCAGTCGTGCAGCAAGCTGACCGCCTTTCATTCGTGTGCTCGGAGGATTGGATGACTGGTCGGAACACATCAGTTGGCTCAGTTGGGCTCGCAATTGTGGCTCGATCTTTACTTTTAGTGAACAGTGCTAAGAAATGAAATGTCAACCAGTACTAGTATTAAAATAAATATGGCAGTCATTAAGTTTTTCCCTGCTCATCTTATCATGGCCTTTTTATTTCAATGCCCACATGTTATGTGTTTCATGCAATGCAACTTCTCTTTCATAGCTATATTTGCTGAAAAAGGATTCCAGCTGTGGTCTATTAAAGAATCCATGCTGAGTTCACAATAAATATTAAAATTAATATTTAAAATTATTTGATTAGATTTGCAGTCGATTAAAAACATTTCTTCTTCACTTAACACTTCTTTTTCTTTTTCACACATTTTTACCTATTGTCTTTCCTTCCATACTTCTTTAGCTACCATTTTCACATTTTGTGGCAGTCATCTATTGGCTTTCTGCTGAGAATACCTATTTTTGTTTTTTGATGCTTCAGGAGCCTGTTTGCACATTTATATTATGTCGTACACAGTATCTTTGTTAGTAAATACCCAACAATAAAATAAATGCAGAAAATAAAGAATTTAGCCTGCTCCTTCACAAGTAAAAATGAAAACAGGAAAGAATTATTAACATAACTCAGTGTGCTCAGACGAGGACACAGCTGCAACTCTGCCTCGTAGCATGATCGACCCAACGTCGGAACTGTTGTAGAAAGAGGTAAGCTATCAGCAGCCTTGTTCAACCCAGGGGAAGAGAAAGAAGGGGCCGTGCACGGAGAGACGGTGGAGCCAGATCCCCTGAGGGACATCCGGACAGTTTTCCTGAGCAATCTGGCGTACGATGTCCAGGATGATCAGCTGACAGAGATCTTCAAAGAGGTAGGTCGTGTTCCGTGTTAAATATTGCCGGCCACAGCTGTTAATCGGGAACATACAGTACTTGCTTATTTAAGCGTGATTTAATTTTTTAATTCAGGCTATAATGGTGAAGTACAGAAGAAACCTCTCTATAATAAAGGTTGGTATATGTACCGTCGCCGACCGATTTTTCGGACTTTGCAAGGACTGAAAAAACATCCGAATAATAGAGCAGTCCGAAAAATCAGCAGATTAAAAAACTTGCCTTTATTACGTCTAAGCGGGCTTTAAAAAGCCGTAAATAGTCCCTTGCTTCAGGTTACGCCTGCGCGCCTTTTTTTGGGTTATGCCTCCATTTGCGTTTGGCAACTTTCCGTAAGCTTGAGAATCACTACCTTCTTTTCTAGTGTTATGGTCAAGTACTTTCTGCGCTTCTTAGCAACAGATCGCGGCAGCGGAAGAACAGATGGGGCAATGACGTCCAAGCCAGCGTAGTCCAAAAACACGATTCACCGAGACTAGATTGAGATGACAGGCGCAAGTCCACGACTGCAATGGCGAATGAACAAAGCAAAATGGAAACAACAGTGATGATGGTAATGACGGGCAGCTAGAGAAAAAGAAAAGCCAAACAGCATCACCTAGCAGTAGGACTTAGCAGTACTCAAGTAGCACTGCCAGACCAAGCCAACATAGAATCCAAAATGGCCGCTTCTCGGTGGTGTTTCCCGCTGATCGCTTGCGACGATTTTGTCCGAAAAGATCTAACTTTCGGACTTCAAGCTGTCCGAAACATTGGTCGTGAATACGCACTATTTCTATCGGGTATGTCAGGGTTCCTCCTTTTAGGTCCGAAATATTGAACAAGTCTGAATTATCAGCATCCAAAAAATCGGACGGCGACTGTACATACTTACGATAAGAATATAGTGAGGCAAACTTGTGTGCTTCAGCTTTGCTTCACTGCTGGTGTAGCCTAGGCATATGATGTACTAATATAATGGATGTTTTCCAGAAAAGCTACCTTTACTATGGTGATGTTCTATTGTGACACAGGACAGCTTGGTTACATGCCATTAGAGTTTTACTTTCTTTTTCATCTAGCTTTTTTTGTTCCAAATTAACTCCATTCGGCCCCTTATTTTTCTCTTTGACTTTAAACAATTGTGTTTGAAGTTAATGGTTTTATGCTAGCCTTGGCTGTTTTTATACAGTCGAATCTCATTAATTAGTACTCGAGGGGGACCGAAAGTCTGTTTGAATAAAGCAAAGTTTGAATTACTGAGAGTCTTCTCCCATAGAGACGCATAGGATGGGACCAACATGTTAGTTTGAATTAGGAGAGTTTGAATTAACGAGATTTGACGGTAGTTGCACTACCGATTGGTTGAAGCGGTTTCTGCATCTGCACAGGTGGGCACCATTGAGGAGCTGCGCCTCGTAAGGGACTACAAGGGCCGCTCCAAGGGCTTTGGCTACCTGGTGTTTGCAGACCAGGTATGCAGAGCCACACCTCTAAGGCCTCCCTTTTAACGCAGAATGTGTTATATGGCTGGCACCTAACCGTGTCCAGTTAGGCGCCAGCAACGGAAGTCGACAGGCCGACTGCCAGCCGAACTGGCAGCCAAACCTCTTGCTCGAGTGCTTTCGTGTTCCTTCCGGCGGAGATTAAATTGTCACGTGTTCAGACATACAGTGGCACTCTGCTCCGGGAAGCGAGCTCGCTTAGGGCTTCCACCGAGAAAGAGTGCAAAAGAGAGAGCGACAGAAAAGCGGAAAGGAAAAAAAGCAGACTCCTTTGCCGAAACAGGTTGAGGTAGTTAGGAGTGTTTGGTCCTCTTTCGCCGCAATCTGGTGCCGGGCTCTGCTTGATGCTGCCGCGATTGAATTGTTCCATTTTCCGCACGCTCCGTCTTCTGTTTCCCGCACTCCAACGGGCTCTGAGAAGGTTGCATTCACACCGCAACCTCGGAGGATGGCACCCAAAAGTGAGACATCTACGGAGTGCTCGCAGCTTGCACGACACAGGGCCGCTTCGTGCCGTCCAGTTTACGCAGGTTTACACAGTTTCTCCACACTAACACGGCATATTCTGTGTCACCACTGTCATTGTCATGCTAGTATGGCAGAGGGGCGACTTTTTTGGGGCGAACCGACTCCTCCTGGACATTGTCCTTTGGCTCGCAGAGGGACGTCGACGCAGCCCTGGCAAAGGACCGTACGCCCGTGGCTGGACGTCCCGTGTTCGTCTCCAGGTGCAACGAAAGGACCCAGTTCAAGGTAGGGCACTCATACCTCTCCAGCTGCTTGACAGCAAAACTTGTGGTTTTGCGTCTTTGCGGTTATACCATATTTACCCCCCCCCCCCCTTCCTCCCCACATATCAGGGAACCTAGTTGTTTTGGTTGATAACGCCCGCCAGGGGAGGAGGTTTTTGGACGCCTTGTTACGTGCCCCCGTTTCTTGCTCGAACCCTCCCGCGTCCGACGTCCCGGCTAAACACGTTATGCCGCTTGAAGCCAAAAGGCAGTACCAAGAGGAGGCCATTTCACTACAAACATGACATGTTAGATATCTAAGTAGTAAACTTTATCTTTAGTCAGCTACCATTAATTTGTCTGCCATTAGTTTTTCACTCCCGTTTTCAAACTAGCTCTTGGATCGTGGCATTTCTTTTTCCGTCTGAAATTATTTTGTTTTGTAACCTTACCAAAAAGGGGAGGTAATGATAATGACATGAGTGGGAATCAACCGTGCATTTTTTGTCTACTTTCAACATTCCTTCATCAACAAAGCTGAGTTATGTTTGTTGTGCGCTTTGTCCATCATAATGCTTACAGAAAACTCGAGATGGAGTCTGATTTCTGTTCTGTTTTACAGTTCCAGACTGGCTTGGAAAAGAACAAGCTGTTTGTCAGGGGCATTCCCTTCTCCATGGACGAGAAAGGGCTGGAAGAGATCTTTGGAAAGGTGCGTGCCTTTGAGTGCACCCGAGGTTTCAGGCATCCAGGTGTTTCAACGAGTAGCGCACAAATTTCTCTTACCCGTTTGCGCTTTTATTTCAGTACGGAGACCTGAAGCAGATCCGGATTGTCACATACCGCAACGGGCACTCCAAAGGCATTGCTTACGTTGAGTTTACCAATGAGGTGGGTGTTGCCATAAATCTTTCATCATCCGTTTTGCACGAGCCTACCCCACCTAAAATCACAATTATCCATCCATGCCATTTAAAGGTATCAGAAAGAGTTTATTATTGTTTCTTGTCAACGTGCTTCTCAGTCTGAAGCTGTCAAAAGATGCTAAACTTGTTTTAGAGCGCAGCTCTTAGGCGCCCGTTTCCAGCTTGAGCGGCGTCGCCGTCGGCGTAACCAAGGTCACCCCAAGGTCACGTGACCCCTTCCAAGGTCACCCCAAGGGCACGTGACCCCTCCTAAGGTCACGTGACTCCCAGGTCACCCCAAGGTCACGTGACCCCAGGGTGACCCCACATGACCCCGGGGTCACGTGGCCCCCCTCCCCGAGGTCACGTGGCCCCCCTCCCCGAGGTCACGTGACCCCCTCCCCCCGAGGTCAGCATATTAAAGAATGAGGGGAGGAGGAGGAGGAGGAGGGGTCTACCCTCCCCTCAGTACTCTTCCCTCCTCCTCAAGAGCTGCGCTCCAATTCGGCATTACAGGGAGTTGTAAACGGCTTTCACTTTTTTCAGGTGTACTTGGGCAAATATTTTCTCAAGATTGTACTACTTAATTAAAAAAAGCCACATTCAATAGCTCTCAAATGATGAATGATTTCCACAGGAACTGGAGATTATTTTAGAGTTATTGAATATGGCTATTAGTTCCTGATGTTTCTGTTGAGTGATATCATTGTGTGCTTAGCAGTAGTGAGGTTATTGAGGACAGCCACACGCCAGAATGTTTTTGTGCTGTCACTGACTAGATAAACATCCCATTACAGTCGGCTTTCATGAATTCAAACTCTCTTAATTCAAACTTCTGGATAATTGAAACTGACGTGCAGGTCCCATCCTATACGTCTCTATGGAAGGAAACTCCTAATAATTCAAACTTTGCTTTATTCAAAAAAATTTTCGGCCACCATCGAGTTTGAATTATCGAGATTCGACTGTACTTTGCAACAGACAGTCGTGTCAGTGAGGCTTTCTAGCAAGCTTGCTCAGGCACACTCCAAAAAAGGAACATCTCAGAACAGGTCGGCCAGACGTCAGCACCTCTAAACGGAAGAGGTATTCTAGGGTATTCTAGGAAGGGTAGACTCGAGAGTCACTGCACGCCACCAGAGAATCACGTTTTAAAGTGGTAGATTTATGGGGCCAACCAAGCTCAGGAGCCGCGCAAGCATAAAATGTGTAGTAGGTCTGTCAGCCTGTAACCGCTAAACAATCTTGAAAAAATTGGTCGGCCGTATCGGGGACCCAGCCGCAGTGGGGTACGCAAAACGTCTTGTGCGTGCCGCGGAGGGTTTATGGGCACTAGGGTACAGAAATGACGTAACCAAATACACAACTTACATTTATTCACGTATTACAAAGCTTACATGCTTAACTTACATTACGGCTAGTGCGGTCTAATCGTGCAATCTTGCTCGCTTCCTATTCGCTCCCTATGAAGACGGACACGTTCCGACGTGGTCAAAGTTTGAGTTAGATGAATTGTACCTGCTATAATATAATTTTTCTCAAACGGGACCAGTCCTGCCCGGATCGACAAATGTACTGTTGAGCTACGCCTCTGTGAATGCAGCGCACAAGGCTAAATTTAGCTTAAGTTGCATCGTGCGTGACATGACAACGGCACCATTTGCGCTCAAGGCACACGCAAGATCGAGGAATGGCTTCTTTCCTCTACACAATGGTACCAAAATAAGACGCGCTGGTAGTATGGTTGCAAAGATATAAGCGATATTAGCGTTACACGTTTTCATTACATGCGGTTTTAGCAAGTGACCCCCACTGACCAAAATGAAAGACGTTTCACGTAAAAAAAATGGCAACTGGTGCCAGGGATTGAACACCGGTCACCGATGTGGAGGTCGAGTGTGCTGCTGACTGAGCTATGGACACAGCATGCAGGAATGGGAGGAGCAGAAGCAGGTGGTCCGAAAAAGCGTGCAGAGCAGAGAGGGTTGGGAAGGGCAAGAAGGAGAAAAACAGAAAAAACGGGTGGTGTAGAAAGAGCATGCGAACGAGGAGGACCGGAAAGGGCAGGAAAGCTGGCTTCCCCTCTTTCGGTGGCCCAGAGAATTCAGCACAAAGGCTTTGTATCCGGGTAGTGCTGAAGGGAAGCGTGCGCTGCGTCACAGAGACAAAGAGTATAGCAAATAGACTGATCTCACCAGCCGGTTTGACTACGCCACCGCTGCCGCAGTGCATCGAAGAAACTTTAGTTTTTGTGCGCGCGCGAAAATCTCGCTGGGGGGGGGGGGGGGGGGGGGGAGCTCTGCACGCGCAGAGCATGGGATGGCACGAGCCCTTACATGCACAGCCACCTGTCTCCTGCAACCTAAAGTTATGGCGGCGTCACGCATGCGCCGAACGCTTAGTGAGATCGGTCTATTGCTGGGCAGTTGTGTTACACAGGAAACGTTTCGGTATCGTCCCGCAACGTTACCGAGCCCGGCGCCTACTCTCACGGCGCTCTTCATCAGATAACACGTGGCATATGAACTTGATAGCAGTTCCTGGAATAAAAATACTAACGTAAGTCGGGTTTCTTTTTTTTTTTTTCACTCCCGTTTGTTTATTTTTTTGGTCATGCGGCCTCCCCCATCAGCCAATCAGCATCAAGCTTCGCGGCTACTTGTTCATCTCTGCTTCACTTTTGGGTTTCATCGATATCTTAACACCCACCTAACTAGACAAAGAATGTTTCACGTTAATAGTGTGGCATAATCTGTTTCCATACAAAACCCTGCCCTATATTCCGTCTCACTAAAACGGTGCAGTATAGCCAAAGCTACAGGGGAGAGAGTGTGTACCAACCTTTTCATGAGAAGGGAAAAAGGAACAGCAGTGATAGGCTGGGGTTCCCAACCTTTCTCTCCTGTTCCTCCTTTCCCTCCTTTTGAACAGGTTGGGATACACTCTCTCCCCTGTAGCTTTGGCTGTACTGCACGGTTCTAGTAAGACGGAATATAGGCACCACCTAAAATAAAAGCACCACCCACTCCGGGCGCTGAAAGACTGAGGGTCATCCTGCCCTAGGCACCACACAAGCTAAGAGTACCACTCACCCTATAAAGCTACCTCATTTAAAGGGAAGATGGGGCACTTCTACATTTGAGAAAAAACGCATGAATTGCGTTCATTTGGCCTTTAGAATAACAGATATCAAAATTATATTTCAATGCGACGCGCCGGAGAGCCACAAGAGCAATTTCAAAATAGGGCTGAAGCCCCGCCCCCCTAGCCTTGGGCAGCCAAAAGAGCCGTCAATGACGTCACGGACAGCGACTGTCTTTCGCGTTTTTCTCGCGTTTAACAATACTTACGCAGCAAATGGTTTGGGTATTCGGGTTCACGGGGTAAAAATACACTAGAATTCACTTCTAACTCATTTTCTCCAAGAAGCTCCGTAGCTTCCCTTTAAAGGTGTTTAGCAAAATGACCATGCATGCAGTCAATTTTATTTTTTCTTACCACTTGCTGCTAACAGCTGTGGCAACTAACAAACCTGCAGTTCATGGGAATATTAAAATGTGTAATTTTTGGTAATGCAGATTTAGAGTATGTTTATTCCTTTTAGTTTTAGGCATCATTTCGGTTTTTTGACATATTAATATCAGCCCCATTGGGGCAAAAAAAGGACGAGATACAGATGGAACAAAGCACACATGCACAAGAAAAACTGGATTGAAATGTTTATGCAGTTTATAATGGATCGGTGAGATGATTGTTCTACAGCTTGTATGACTCTTGGTATGTAATCTGCCAGAAGAAAATGAGGTGCTACAAACTATTATTTTGGTTCCAGTATGAATATAAGATTGAAGGCAGATCTGTGGTACTACTCTGATAGTTCTATTGGTTTGTAGCGGGCGACCAAACGGGACCCAGCAGAAGACGAGGAAGCTGAGACACAAAACGAGGGAATGCTCGAGACCAAGGCAGCATACTGGTGTTCAGAGATCTCAGATGTCTTTTTATTTACATAGCTTCTTGTATATAGTACATCTAAATAAACTGAAGGAACCTTCCGTCCCTTTGGGTTCTTAGCACGGTGCTCATCAGCGACATTTTTAGTGAGCCAAAGAGATTCCTCTCGTCTGTTTGCAGACGTCTGCTACAGTGGCGCTGGTGCAGACGGATGGCATGCAGCTCGGCAAGCACACGCTGCAGGTGGCCATCAGCAACCCTCCGAGCAGGGGACCCCGCAACCAGAACCCTCAGGATTCCCATGGAGGGCCGAGGCCAGTTCCGGTCGCCTCCCTCGGTGGGGGTCCGAAGGAAACTGGCCTGTACGCTCCACGCATCCTTTCTTCTCTTAAACCTCTGCAGTAATTTTTTATGGTCTTGCAATGCGAGAACTGCACAAAACTCTCTGCCTCCGAATTCTCAGAGAAATGGCGTCACAAAGCTGTTCTGTACTAATGCACCAGTTTTCTTGATGTCGCGAAATGAGTAAAACATGTATCAGTGCCCGGTTTTAAATGTTGACACCCACAAAAAATTACCTATGCTTCATGCCCATTGTGGGCCCAGGTGTGTTTGACATTGAGTAAAGCACTGGCTTTTCTGGGTGGGACCTCACCTGTTAATTTCAACAGACTACAGTGTAATATAACACTCACATTAAACAAATCAAAACTTGCAAAGAGTTCTGTGCATTGCATGGATGTTTCAGGCAAAAGAAGCACACACTTCTTTTCCTTTCAAAGTTTTGCAATCCTAGTATATGCCATATGAACCACTGTACACCTCTGGAGCCTTTTCAGGTAATTCTCTACATCATCCAAGCAATGCACCAGAGTAGATCTATCAAGACTTTGGGTAAAACCCGATTTTTCTGTTTGTTCCTCCCAATTGAACATTGAAAGTTTGATCCTTTTTGTCTAAGTAGCAAGCTTCATCTTGGCACTTTTTTAAAGGCACACTGACAGAGTATTTATGCTCGCCGAGGTTTTTATTTGAACATGACCTATAAGTGCCCAACTACAGTGGAATCTCGTTAATTCAAACTCTCTAATTCAAACTAACATGCAGGCCCCGTACTATGTGTTTCTAAGAAAGAAACTCCCGATACTTCAAATCTTGCATCATTCAAACACAGTTCTGGTCCCCCTCGGGTTCAAATTAACAAGATTCCACTGTACCCGAAAGACAATTGGCAGCTCGAAATTTGTTTTCTTTCCGCCCGAAGAAAGCGGCCGAGAAATGGTCAGTTTCAGTCACGCTCGCTTTTTTCTTCATGGTCACATGGCGTTCAAACTATGTGTGCCAAATATATTCAAAGTCGTGGGTCATCTAACGCACACATTCAATATTAAAAATAAAGAAGAATATGAACCCCATTTTTGTGGCCTCCAAAAAACTGCAAATATGTTGATCGAAAAAAAATAATGCACAGATCACAGGGAGTACATGTACACATCATTCTCAATATGGCGACGGATCGCGGGCATACCGTGGGCTGGACGACAGGAGGGCGGCGCACGACAAACCAACGTTGCAACGGACGTGGGGCCGATATTTTGGAACTGTCGCTCATGGTACCGGCCGATCGATCTTCAAGCATAGAGCATCAGGCGGAAGGGATATAAGTGCAAAACTATGAAACGACAAACTGTGCAAGCAGCTTTGTCGTCTGCTTCACATGCCTGGGAAGCGGAGAAAAAAAATGCTGTCAAGTGTAGCCACGTGACTTCTGGCCATGAGCTTTCATGCTCGTGTTTCGGTTTCAAGCAGTTGAGTTTTTTTAGCTTTATTAAAGATATATGTGACCCTGTAGCAAAATATTTATTGGGTAGTCTTCTGACACCATATTAAAACGCCTAACAAAATGGAAAAAAACAACAAAAAAAATTGGGGGGATGTTAGTTTGTTTTTCTTTGTTTTTTTTAATATGCGGTTTTTGTTGCTGCAGGAGAGGTCGTAGTCGCACCCAGGTATCCCTCATGCCCAGGGCGTTGCAGCGCCCTCAGCCGCAGAAGCCACAGCCGCAGGTCAAAGGAGAGACAGTGCCAAAGGACGCTCTCCCAGAGACCAAGGGCCTGAGCAACGCAGATTTCAGGAACCTGCTCCTCAAGAAATGAGCTTTTGCTTTAAATTACCATTTGTCACCTATCCCCCTTCCCCATCATCATGTTTTCTTGTTTTGCTGCGTTCCATCATTCATGCAATAAATCTTGCACCACCTGTGGACTGACTTTATTTTGTGCCTCTGCTGTGCATCTGCATGAGACAGCACTTTTTCCTTCAGACCAATGTTACTAGAACAACTCAGTTGGGAAACTGCCATAGAGCGTGCTTTGAAGAGGTGGCTCCAATCCGTACTTGGAAACTGAACTGGGCAATCGGAACGCCGCCATTTCTCCCTCAGTGGCCACTCCGGGAACTGCAAGGCTGCACGTATGGGTTCAGGACGAGTTGCACAAGGGCCGGTGGCACCATCTCGGTGCCATTTCGCAGTAGCTATATAAATCATCGTGTTTTAAGTCGCCACTAAAGGGCGGCGCTGTTATCATGCCCAGTTTGGTCTCATTGAACGTGAGTAGTCCAGGTTTCAAGGGCGAGTTTCCCAACTGAGCGTTTTAGTGACTGCTTCAGACTCATTGCCATTCTTGCTTATTTGTTGCTGGGAATTGCAAGTTCTACTGTATGCAATGATAGCAGTCCAACATGTGCTGTATGCATCAAAACCGCATTGCAGGCAGATGCCGTGAACTTCCCATGGCTCGAAGTATAAAGGTTTTTAATGCAAAGTTTGCAACTTATGAGCACCACCATGGTTGGCATTTGTGAAGTTTGAAGTTTTTGAGGTCTCTGAAAGTTTGTGTTAATTCTGAAGTTGCCTTGTCAGCTATTTTCAGTAGTGCTGAAGTGTGGTTTGTATATACGTTAAATCACTCAAGACTTAAGCAAATCTGGCAAAGCCACTGCTGTCATCATGCTAGCTGGCCTGGCTTGTGTCTGGGAGGTTGGAGTCAGTTGTTTGTGACAGCAACCATACTTCGTATACTTTACTTTGATCTTTGAGTCGCATATTTTGTGGTAATTTGTACCAGTGTCTAGGTGTTCAAAACAGGTGACATGAACTTTGACTGGAGCATGTTTTGGGGACGAAACTTTGTATTTTTGAATAAAATCCTGGATTGTGTTAGAAGTTCATCAAACTTTAAAATTTCACAGGTTAGAAGGTATGAATTTTGTTGGAATTGTAGCAAAATAAGCTTCAAAATCATCTAATTTTTAAATGTAATTAATTTCTGAATTTCTCAATGTGCGAAGTTTTAACCATTTGAGCGCCTTGGTATCTCTAACCTATTGAGGAGTGCTAATAAAAATTTTCAGGGCATGACATTATTAAATTAAAAAAAAAAAAAATAAGGGGCTTTTATTTTCATCCTATGAATGGTCTTCTGGAGTAGCATCACTTCGTGCACTATATTTCTGACTGCCCCCAGCTTCCAACTCTGGTAGCATTTGACTTGCAGAGTTCAGCCAGTTTAGCATCATCCCATTTTTGCTACCAATATCAACCTTTCCCAAATAAACAATACCCAATGGCATATGATTTTGTTGCCACAAGAGTGACATTTGCAGGATAGCCCATGACACAGACGAAAAATGATTTCTCACCCCGCCACTGAAGCGACCGAAGTGTGCAGAAAATGGCCGCCAGGTGGCCGACGGCGTGAACTCTTTCAAGTAAAAGGGTTACTTTACTGGAGTCTGGCTTTTTGAACTGCGGAGTTTGTGGATACCATGTTAAAATACCGCACAGACATTATTTTGCTCGAGCACTTGCCCAAGGAAACTGGATTTCTAAAGCCACCCGCGTTGGCACATCTCACGCGTCACAACAGCGCACAACTGTAGAAATGAGGCCAAGTTGCGTAAGCTGTGCACTAAAATACGTAGCGACGTTTTAGGTACAGTCGTACTTCCTGTAAACTACCGAATAAAGGATGCATAGTTTCAAACGAGTTTCTGCAACATTCATAAACAGTAATCCGGCAGACTTGGCAAGGCTGAAGTGGCTGAAGCGAGCATTTCATGCGCCATGTCGCACAACCAAAATCAGCTGGCTCTGCGATCCCGTGATAGACGCTTGCATAGTAGGCAGGTACACGATTCTTTCTAGTCGTCCCTTCACCTCCTCAAAGATGTATAAAGTAATTTTCTTTGAGAGACGGTCCTTTGCAGAAGCCACACCGGGATTCTAAAGTTTAAGACATGGTTGAAACGAGAACTTCAGTTGAAACCTGCAACACACCGGAGCTGCCGGAGCCCGGAGCTTTTTGCTACCACACGTAGAACCCACACGGCCGTCGGCCCGGTAGTGACGTCCAGGAAGTGACATTTTGTTTTCTCCTTACCACTCTGCTCCTTCTCAGCCTCTTCTACCAAACGCATGCGCAGTTGGCGCAGTCGCTGAACGAAAAAAGTTGCTTGGAAAGATGGCGGACGTGTGAGCGCCGTCGCTTTGGTTTTCGCGTTGACACCCCAAACATCTCGGTGAACATGCTTTACAAGTACTCTCGTAAGCGTCGCAGACTGTGAATTGGAGTTTGCCAGCCTTCCCGACGACAGGCTCAACCTTCGCACGACATGTCCCTCGTGACAGTGCTGCGTTCGCCGTGCCGCTCCACGGATAACTCTCCGACGGATGACCATCAGCAGCCAGCTGTAAGTGAACCGAATCTCTCAACCTCTGCTCGTCACCGCCGCTCGCCGAAAAACGCGACTGCAATCCGCCCACGAGGTTTCCCGTGAACCGTAGACTGGAACCCCGGAGATCGCCGGGATTTGGCGGCTTCGTTTTGACGGCAGAGATTTACAAACATCGGTTTTTTGTTGTTGTTTCGACGGGCTGTTGTGTGATGTCCGGCATCAACCGCGGCGGCGGGCGTGCGATTTCAATCTGTGTCGGTGTGGTGGGGGTGCTTGAAACAACGGGTGAATAAGTTTTCTTCTTTTTCTTGAACATCGTTTCGAGACGGAGGAGCCCACGGTCATGTTCTAAGCCGGCGCGAGAACGGTCGGCCTGTCGTCTATAAATGTTAGCGAAGCGGTGCCAGCGGGAGTTATATTTAGGTCGCTTTTCTTCACAAGAGAGCCAACTGTTTCACGGACTGTTTCGGCCGGGTCCTCGCGACGTCGCAGGCCATCAACACAATCATAAAAAGTCACGAGCTCCCACGAGGCGGGAAGTGCATGTAAGCTCTCCGCCTGCGTCTGTCGGCCTGTGCGCAACCCGGCGCTCGAGGTCTGTCTTCAGCTGGCACTGACAGCGGCGCGTAGTTAGTTTTCAGTCGCCGCTGCAGGCACAACTCGTTGTTGCGCTTCATTTGCCATGTTCCGGGATACGTGTCGCGCAATGCGCTTGTCAAGAAGCGGTCGAGATTTTTGTGGCATGCGTCTTGCCCCTTTTGACAAAAGGGTCGTGACTAGAAAAAACTTACCCATCAAATTTTTTTTCTATCGTTTTTTCTTTTGTTTTTTTTTTTCTGGGGGGGGGGGGGGGGTAATTGGTGTAACTCTGCTGATAAGGTGACGCGTCCCTGCTAGTAACTACTGTTTGGTACACGTCGTGACATTCTTTTCTGGATAGGTTATGTTGACGTTTCGAGTTTTGCGGTGTGCGGGAAGCGACGACGATGTTTGAGTTTCTACGCCGTAAGAGTGGTGGATCCACTGACCTTACTGCGCCATTACACTACCTGGCATGCAGAGCAGAAAAACATGTGCACTTTTTGGTCCATGGATAGTGCATAGAAGCTACAGTAATGCTTCTCCCAGACTAGCACTTCATATGAACATACCGAACTCAAACGTTTGATTGCGATATTGCACCCACGTAAAAGATGCTAGTCATGCAGGACAATACTCCACGCACTTCAAATGCGTGGAGTACTTTTGTTGTTTTTATGGTGTAGCAAGTACGTGCGTATAATGGAAGTCCTAGCTCTTTTTTTTTTTTATTTGGGTCTGCTATTCCAAATTGAGAAATTACGAATGCTCAGCAGGTTAATATTTTGTATTTTGTTTTGAATAATACATAGCCTTTTTCTTACATAAAAAACACAAAAAAAAACATGTTTAGTGTTTAGTGTAGCCAACACACTGAAACATATGAAATGCAACATAACTGTGTAAAAATAAAATCTTATGCTTGAAGTAGGAAGTCTTCATGCCCTTATAATGAGGTTACCATGGTCCTTTCAAAGAAAATGGTCCCTTTTACGTCATCAAAAAATGTTGCTGGCCCGAACTTTCTCTTCCTGAAACGAACTCCATGCAAGGCATATATGCTTTGGACTGCATCCCAATTCTACTGCCAAACGTGGCCGAACAAATCGCAAAATGGATGCCGATACTCCGCGTGAACAAGCACCCGGGTTTGGCAAGTACGACTCCTAGCGTTATGCAAGTCGAAGGGGTGAAAAGCGTCCCTTTGACACACGTAGCGTAGATGAAACTGAGGGGTGCAATTACGCAAGTGCGAGCTGCCATCGGACCTGAAAAAAAAATATGTAAGCAATAGTGACCCTGAGATGAGGAACGTGAAAGGCAGCCAGCACGGCGTGCATGTATATACCCCTATGCGCTAATTGCAGTCCACGCGTGACCTTAGCGCTTGTAATAAGGGCGTACGATTGATACAGGGAATGGCCTTTATGCTGATCTCATGTTTCCTAAGTTTCCTGGCACTACTTCTCTTCGCAACCACTCTTTATCGCCTCGTGTTCGATCTGTTGCTATACAAACAAATCAGCTCGCTTTTATTTTTTATTATTTTTATTATTTGTTTTGCGAGCTGTATCCTGTGTTGAGTTAGTAAGTATCCGAAACGAAAAACGGAGCGTAACGTATAAAGTGGAATGGACCGGCCTTGGTAATAGTATGTTGGGACTGCACTTTAAATCCCATGTAATAGCGCCTATTTTCATAGCGGAATTGTATTTGATACCGGAAATTGGTTTGTGTGTCTGATTTTTATCCCGCGTCGTGCTATCGCGGAAAGATCAGCTCAGATATTGTTTTGGGTCAATTGACTCTTGGAGGGTCGCAAGAACGGATTTGTGGGGGAATCACGGTACATGAGAAGTCTACGCTAATACTTCAATTAAACGAAGACAAAAAGGGAGGAATAAACTAGAGACCTTCGCATATTTATGCTCTCTAAACCTTTTAAA